GATGGACATAAAAGCAATACCAATCCAAACAAATAACTGAAATCTTTTATAAGATCAGCGTTCCATTTAAATATACGTGACGACGACGTGATCATATTTAAACGGAACGCTGATCTTATAAAAGATTTCGGTTATCTGTTTGGATTGGTATTGCTTTTATGTCCATCGTCTTTTTCATGTTGAATTGTATATGGTCTATGTTAATCATGTTTTATGAATATGTCCTGAAGATGGTCTATTAGACCGAAACATCCAACGTTGACATTAAAACAACATAATCGCATATTAGGATTTTTGTTTGTTTTTTCAGTATATTTTTCTTCATATATATATAGTTAAACCTAGAGAGCCAGATGTATACTTGCATTGTGGTTTTTTTCTTTCAGCCCTGGGCTTGCATGCTGTATGATTATTTTTGGCTAACGTACGTTCTTTCGTCTTTTTTATGTTTTTCCCCCCTTTGGTGGCAGTTTGATTATTTGCAAATCAGGACACTAAAGGTTTTCTGAGCAAGTATAGTTTCTTATACTTATAAGATTTCTATTAATAATAATCTAGCTCTAGGCTACCCTATCGAGCACTTTTTAAAATCAATATGGAACGTGTATAGGATATATATATATATATATTGCCTCAAGTATTTAGTTTTCTTGGTTATTTTATGGAAGTGATTCAATCTGCCATATTTTATTTTAATATGAATTTTTACATCAAATTCCATGTTTTATTTGGTGTCATATTTTTAATACTCACTGAGAAGATTTATAAGATTGTCAACGTGCAACCTAACATTCTGTTGCAAGTAGTCTTAAAAATGTACTTGTAGAAAATAGCAACTTTTGAGTCCCAAAACGTTAAAGTATCAATAGTCAATAATTCTTTCAGTTGAGTATCCTCGTTGTTGTTGCTTGTATACTAGTTGAAATGATTGAAAATTAATTGAATAGATATTATTCTATTTTAATTTAGAAAAACTGTTAGTGCCACATTTTCTTTATTTGTGCAGAGTGAAACATTATAAAGCTTGATCTTGTTGTCAGGTATATTTCTTTTCAGAAATTCCAACTGAAATTTGTAAAAGACAAAGACAGAAGACTTAATTTAAAAGTATATTTTATTCACTAAAAAAAAAAAAAAAAAAAAATTTAGTCATTTAATAATCATCAGTATTTGAGTTTCTGAAACTGTCATTGAGTTCATTTTGAAGGAAAAAAAAAAAAAAAAAAAAAAAACTTTTATTAAGACTCCAAAACAAATACAAAAAATTTTATTCGATCAACAATAATACACACACACATATGTCTTTTAGATTTGAAGAGAATGGTGATTATGTAAAAAGTGATATAGAGGAGAATTTTCAGGAAGAAATAAAATATTAAGAAGCATAAATTAGCAAAATCCTTATTTTCATTGAGTAGCTGCCAATGACCTCTGTTCCAACAGTTCAATAATTTTTTTACTTTTAAAATATTTTACTTTGTAACCTTACTTTAAAAATTAGTGATTGTCCTTTACTAATTTTGAAATATATTACTTCCAAGTAAGATATTGAATTAGAATTTTACGATTATTTTTAAGTTATTTCACAAAGAATTTTTAACACAGATGCATAAATATTTCTTAGTTTAACTTTTTTCAATTATCTCCTTCTATAAATTAAACTAATACCAACAAAAGAACTTATAGTACCAGTTCATTTTATATTCAAGGCATCAGTTTAAATGGACATTAATCAGAATGATCTAAATAAGTGGGAGTAATGTCCATATGTTCTGGATTTCAGTGAAATTTTTGAGTTTCTAAAAGTTTTGATATATAGAATAATACCTGACTCCCACTGCCATGTCCTATCTTTACAAGAGTCAAATCAGACCAAGGATGGAGTAATTCTGACATATCTGAGCTGAAGCTGACCAATCCTCATTGTTCAGACTCAACAGAGTTCAAAAGTTCTTATGCAGCCTTGTGAGTGATGAATTATTCTCCACCCTAAAGCCAGTAAAATTTCATCACCACTGAACCAATACTGATGATAAGTGGTCATACCTCCAAAGAGGCTCCTTGCCTTGAATTCCTACTGGGGCTAAAGCTCCCTCCTGATCTCAAATAAAAAAAACGTATATTTAGTTTCATCACAAAAGATGCCGAAAGAAGGGTCGGTTCCTTGTATCACTCCAGAAAATGCCTAACTCTCACTGCTATGCTATATCTTTAGAAGAGTCAAATCAGACCAAGAATGGAGTAATGCTGCCATATCTGGGCAGAAGCTGCCCAATCTTCTTTGTTCAGCTGTGAGTTCAAAAACCTTATATATGGCCTTATATTCTTTAGTGCCTCAGTTAAGGTCCTGTATGCCATGTTCACAGTGGCAAACCATACTAATTCCCTTTGTGTTTCTTTGATAAAACACAAATTTGACTCGGTTTCTTCCCCAGAGATATTACTTTGTGGAACAAACTCCCAAAAGAATGCTTTTCTGACAACAACAATCTTGGTTTCTTTAAGTTCAGGGTCAACAGATATCTATCCTACTTATCCTCACAATACTTATACTTTCTTTTTCTTTACAATCTCCCTCAGTAACCCTCTACCTTGAGTGACTCTTGTGCCTTGTATTGGATGAAGTATCAGTAAAAAAAAAATAAAATAAAAAATAAGTGTCAGTTTGAATGGATACTAGTAGGATATGGTACTAGATTCATTTTATTTTTTAAGAAATGGCTGTATTATCAGACATTTTGTTTTGAGTGAGTGAAGCCCATGGATCTTGGCAAAGACCATCCTTCTTTGAAAATTGTGAAATGGCACTACAGAATCACAAACAAAAAACTGTACCAAATAACAGAAACATCACTTGAGGACTATCCACAGTAACAATTAAAAGGGATAACACATGTAACTCAATAAGAAAATAATGAAAATAAGACGTTGATATTCCACACTACTTCAAATAAAAGGCCAACAAGGAACCCCCATCAATATTGAAAAGAGTGATAACAGCTACTGGACTTGAAAATCTTTATTATCCTGAAAAATTGTTTTATTTCAACTGACAGCAGTATTACAATTACAGATTAGAGGAACAGATACTACACTTAGTATTCAATTACTGCCCTATGTTGGCAAGATGGAGCCGAAGGTCAGATTCATGTGGGGAACCCAAGCATGTGCACCTAGGCCAGGTTAAAAAAAATAGCACAGTCCCTGCAACTGTGGGTTTTGATGGCATCAGTATTACTACCAGTCTCCCCCTCTTTAATGCAATGAGGGAGGTACTGCAGCTGTTCCCAAGACCAAGCACTTTTCACTAATATTTTCAGTTGTGCTCTGTCCACACACAAAGACACAATCGAGAGATAAAATATAGTTTATTCACCTGAAGGCAGATTCTACACTTTGATCCAAGCCTGATGTCCAGGGAGTGAAGAAAATATCAACTTGATTAATTACTGGCTGCTGGGTCAGTGAATGCCAAATGTTTTCTTATAAGGAAATGGCTAATATTACCATTACTAATGGTAGAATAACTTTAGAGATTGTGTGGCTTGGCTTCAGAAGTTCATGGTTATACATATTAATGTAAAGCAGTAATGTTACATTGTGGACAATTGAAAAGTATAAACAGTATTAAGTCATGTGATTTTTACTCATGTATGTATCTGTGATTACATGGTTTTTGACTATGTATGAAAGTGATTGCTACAGATGTATTAAAAAAAAAAAAAAAAAGGCAGCTGACAGTCCACAATTACCATCTTGTACAGACATATGCATTGAGAATTGGACAAGACTTTCACACTGATTAATACATTTTTCAGAATAAAAAAAATTTCTAAATGCAAACTCCAATGCAATATATTTATAGGGAAAAGGCAACTTTAGCAAAAGAATGTGAAATTGCTCAATACTTTAACAAGAGTGTTCATCATTATTTATTATGACCATTACAAAATATATAAAAAGAGACAACTCAGTTCATGGGGTACATTTTATAATTAAAAGTAGTAAAAAAGATAAATCAATTTTTTTTCTAATATAAAAATAGCAATTATCATTTATAAAGAAGCCACATTCTAAATGGATTATAAATAAAACATGAAAAGAGGAAGTTATTTTCCAAACCCACCTCAATTCAGAATAATTCCCAACAGAAATATTTAATGTAACACATTCCTTGAATTTGTTTTGTATTTTTCCAAGTCATGTAATTTTCATTTTTTTTTTTTTTTATACAAAGGTTTTGGTTGTTGAAATAAAAATGCTTTATTCAGGACACCAATATAGGTTAAAAGGTTTGCAAGCTTTATAAATGTAAAAAAAAAAAAAAAAAAAAAAAAAAAAAAATTATTTAAAAAGTAATATTTATAAAAAAAAATAAAGAAACAAAAAAACTAAAATAAAATCTTGATGAGAAAAGTAAAAGAAACATTTTCCCCAAAATAAATTTAAAAAATTAGATATGGATTTAAAAAGAAAATTCTTTTAAATTTTGTTATGAATGTTGTTATAGACAATAACATTACAAATTCCCATTTTGAATGAAATTCTTAAATGCTTTAAGAGCTTGAATAGGTGCATCAGTTGGAACCATGTGACCAGCTCCCTAGAAAAGAAATAATCATCATTGTGAGAAAATTAAGTTCAAACATTTATTTTTTATAAAAATAAGCTTAACTTTTTGTGATGAATAAGAAAAAGATATACATGCAAAAAAAAAAGTTTTGTGGAAAAACCCACAAGTGTCTGAGAAAAAAGAACAGAAAAATCAGGGAAAACTGTATAGAAAAGCAAAAAGCATATAAAAACAAAAATCTAAAAAAATAACAGAAACGCCTGGAGAGAAACCGGTTTGACTATTTATGGCTAATTTGTTTGAATAATGCACTGACTATTGTGTCATGTGGCAATAATTTTAAGTAAAATGATGCACTAGAATAAGTAACCAAGTAATTGTTTCAAATTCTGTGAATATCAATGCTCTTTAATAACTATAATTTCAGTTATTTTAATTGGCTGAGAGAGAAGGGAGAAAGAGGGGAGAAGGGAGAAAGAGGGGGAAAGAAAGGGGAGAAGGGAGAAAGAGGGGGAGAAAGAGGGGAGAAGGGAGAAAGAGGGGGAGAAAGAGGGGGAGAAGGGAGAAAGAGGGGGGAGAAAGGGGGGAGAAGGGAGAAAGAGGGGAGAAAGAGGGGAGAAGGGAGAAAGAGGGGGGAGAAAGGGGGGAAGAAAGAGGGGAGAAAGGAGAAAGAGGGGAGAAAGAGGGGGAGAAGGGAGAAAGAGGGGGGGGGGGAAGAAAAGGGGGAGAAAGAGGGGGAGAGGGAAGAGGGGGGAGGGAGAAAGAGGGGGAGAAGGGAGAAAGAGGGGGAGAAGGGAGAAAGAGGGGGAGAAGGGAGAAAGAGAACAAACAGAGTAATGATTATTGGCATGGAAAATGGAATCTGAACAAAGTACTAATTTCCACCGAGGCTACTTTACCTACTTCACACTGAGTAGTTGGTAAAAGACACATATCTATTTTGCTCTGTCCCATTGCTAAATATCATGACAAAATACCTGTTTACTGCCATGCTAATATAGTTAACAGAAAAGAGAGCAGTTAGACAAGGGCATACGTTTCTTACTGGAATCTTGATAAAGTGAGTCTTTATTTATTTTAATCTTGAAAGGCAAACAAAAACATTCAAGGCACAGAACTTGCTTTTAATTTCCTTCAATTTATTTTTTTTTATTTTAGTGTAAAAATAAAATAAAAAGAAATAGCCAAAAGAAACCAACTTACTCTGACTGTAACAAAAGTAACATTGCTATATTTAATCACAAATCCTGCTACTTGAGTTGTTCCATCCTCAGCTTTGTAATGCCATGGATTTCTCGGTTTCGTCACCTGGTTGGAGAAAATAATAGAAAGGAACTTAAAATGTAATCAAGTTTTGACAATGTTATGTTGCTAACCATGTAGATTCCCATGTAGGTGTTGCTGTTGCAGTTTCCATAGCAACTAAGTTTTTTTTATAGGGTGGAGTTGCCATCACTTCTTCCCAAATAATCTGCGATTTAGTGTTGTTTTAGTGTAGTTGCTAATCAGTCTTCCCTGTTATTAACCCATTGCCGGAAGAAAAGAGATGGATTCATACCTTTCCAAGGGTATTTGTGCAAAAATATGACCCACAATCTATTGTTAACTGGGGCAAGAAATGGCTTGTTTAATGCCTCCAAAATAAAATTGCTCTCTTTTAAACATCTTAAAGAACCTTTTTTACCTTCCATCAACATGGCTGATGCTAGCCTTCAAAAGAGTGACTCCTTGTGCCTTCTTGGACTAATGTTTTCTGATTACATGAAGTAGAAACATTATATTGAATAAATCATATTACTGCCATAATGTAGCTTTCCTGTGCATTTTTTTTATAAATACTTTCATGGTAATTGTTCTGATGAGCTTCCATCTTTGGTACCTAGATTTTATGAATTTAAGTACAGTACTAGATTGGCAGTTAGGTCTCATCATTTTACAGTTGAAATGGCTAAATGTAACCAAATTCTATGCTAACAGTTTCTTCTATCACACTTATTGCTTGTGGAACTCTTCTGAATTCTTGTTTAAACAGTCAATTTTGATCTTTAAAAATTTAAATGCAATGTCAGTTATTATCTACTTAATGTCTTTTATTGTTCTCTATTCCTTAATAATGTATTTTTTTTCTTAGATTTTCTCCCACTCAGTAATCCCTTGCATCTTAGTGGCTTTGTTGCCTTGCTTGGAACAAAATGATTAAAAAAATCAAACACTAAGAGACCCCTACATGATTAGACACCCACATAGAAGTAGATGGTGAATGATTGTATCTGTTTAGTCTTTTTATGGCTACATCTTATTATAAAACGCAGATTGTGTGTGTGTGTCTGTACGTTTATATATTGGATCAGATTTCCTAAATTTTTCAACTGATTTCAACAAAACTTCACAGGACTACGTAAAATTACCTTGCAGTGGTTCTGACAGCACCAAAAATTGGAAAAAACAATTGTTTTTGCACAAAATCAATTGGAAAACACAATTAAGAGGCATTAATGAAAGGGGGACAACTCATATCGAGTTATACTTAGTAATATCAAGTTATACTTATTATAAAACCCAGGTTGGTTGTGTGTGTGTGTGTGTGTGTTCGCTTATATATGGGATCGGATTTCCTACATATTTTAAGCGATTTTAACAAAACTTAACTTTTTTTTGGCAGGTAGTGTTTCTTATTGTCTTGCACACTTTTTTCTTTATTTTTACATTCAGAATGCTTTAAAAATTCCATTTACAAGACAATTGTTTATAATAAAATTCTATTCAATCAATAGACTCATAATGATTGAAAACAATGTTTTTGTTTGAATTTGGGTTTGACCAATTCGTAAAAAAAAAAAAAAAAAACTAATTAAGACGTGTGTCCATCAACCTTAAACATTAATCTTTGTCAATTTTCAATTTTATTTTTCAGTCTTTATGATGGTCAATACTTGATCTATCTCTTACTGTTACATCCCCGGGCAATGCCGGGATCTACTGCTAGTAGGCAATAAAATCTACAAAGTAAGATTTTCAAAGTAGCCACCCACTGACCAAAAGGAAATAAAACAGATAAGTGAAAGCTTTTGAGAACAAATGCCACTTGGCTGGAAGTTAGAAAATTCTGCTTGCAGGCTTATATAAACAGTAACAGAAGTGAAAAGAATTCTGATGCCACCTGTTAGAGAGTAGTTTCAAGTTATTCATTGGTATGTTGCAACAGATAAGCATAGTGGTCGGGGGGATTAGCAGGACAGGGTTCTCACAGGCCAAAAGGAAGAACTTATCTGTTAGCATGTCATGACACAAGTAGCAGAAGTTGTCCTGAGTGGCCATGAAAGTGAATCTCTGGAAAAACAACGAAATATGTAGAAAATAGAATTTTTTTTGCCATGGCATTATTTTCCCCTCCCAGCTATTGTTTAATTTAGCAGTGCTATTTTGCCTTGGTTGGCAACCAGTCTAGAACAACAAGTCTGAATTCAAAACCAGTTGTGTGTGGCTAACAACTCCATCCCATGAAAATGTATGTACTATAAAAATCACAGCAGTAACTTAAGAGTGAGATAAGTCTGTCACTTTATACTTCACAGGAGGAGTGTACTTGAAGAAAATGAGGGGGGGTGATTTAATAAGATTAAAAGGTCAAATGAATGAGAAATATAAAATTACTATATGATTGTATCCTTAACCTTTGGAAGGTTCCCATATAGTCTTTCATGGAAAGATATGGAAATCAGTCAAAATTATAGAATGAATGTTAGAAAAGGATTTAATTATTGAAAATGATTAAAATGGCAACAATACTACTAAATAAGGAGCAAAATTGTTGAAAGTCACTTTTTGGTCTGCTTGAAAATCATTTGCTTTCTCCCCACCCAGCTTAATCTATATCTAAATTTCTTGTTTTTGATTTACATATCATTTTAGTTAAATTATCCAACAGATTCACTTAAAATGCCTAATGTACTTTATTTCATAATTCATTTGTTGGAATTCATCTTTCAAGGCTTACAGCTATGGACCATTGAAATACTGGTTCCTATACGATCACCATGTCATGCCTGGTCAGTACCTAAATGGGTAACCACTTGAAAATACTAGATGCTGTAAACTTGGATGTGTGGGTTGTGTAATGGATAATGGCTTGGAATTGTTAATCAGGGAGCTGAGTTCCAATTTCATTTGGGTTTGTTATATTCACTTATGTGCAAATACTCTTGGGAATGGTATGAATCCATCTATCTCCCCAGCTATGGGTAATTGGTAAGACTTATATCACTAAATCCGTATTATCATAAAAAATTCTTACAATCTAAAAATATTTTCTGGCTTTAAATAACCTGCAAAAGTTTGATAAGCTGTATAAAAAAAAAAATCAATCAATCACCTTTCAAAAAAATATTCTTACTTTAAATAATCCACAAAAGGTTGATAGAATCAATCAATCAATCATCTTTCAAAGCCGTTCTGACAAAGATTACATTTTTTAATTTTCATTTTTAGTATTGTTACATTTGGTTAAATGGATATCCAATATCTGACTTTTTAAGGAAAACTGGTATTAGTAGAGACTTACATCGAGCTTCAGTGATTTTAGAAACCATTCATCTCCAAGGAAGTTGCAAGCCATATCGACATCCCCATTATAAACCATAATTCTTTTCTGAAAGAAAAGAAAAAAAAAAAAACATTAGTCATGATTTTCTTCAGATAAAACAAAATAAACACTCAAATAAGAGACAATTTAGAATAATCTAAAAACTCCATTGATTTTACAAATAACTGAGAATTTTAAAAACCTGTGCACATAAAGTAAATACTCTCAAATGAATACGTCTGACCATTAATTTCCAATCTGTCATCGACAGCTCTACTCAGTGATTTCAGTGTTATCTAGTTAATCAATGAAGATTTTTGTTGATCTACCTCTTAATCTTTTCCCATAATTCAGTTCCCATAATATAAGCTGATGCACAACTTCTTGTTTACTCTTCCAGCAATGGCCAACAAACTGCACTCGCTTTTCACTGATTGTGTCTTTAACCTTTGGAAGGTTCCCATATAATCTTTCATGGAAACCAAATTAATGAAGCCAAACAGCATAAACATTGTGTAGAAATTTGGAGCAAAGCAAAAAATCATGATAGAATCATACAATCAAAAACAAAACAGATGTTCTGGTCTGAAAAAAAAAAAAAAAAAAACTGAGTCATACTTCAACCCTGACCATACTAAGCTGAGATGTCCATGGAAATAGAACATACACCAATATGTACCCAAACATTACATCGTCTGTCTCCAAATATAAACAATGATGAATCTAGTGATGAGGAAATAAAGAAAGCTATAAAAAAATTAAAGAATAATAAAGTATCACTTGACATTGAGGCTGAACTTTTGAAAGTAGCCTACTGTCTCCTCAAATTTAAAACAACTTTCTCTATTTCATAAAAGAAGTCTGAAATTAGGAATGTATCCCCACCACCAAAAGTGGGGTGTATTGTAGATTAATGCCTTATAGAAACAAAAAGATAACCCTCAAGATTGTCACACATACAGAGGTACTTCAATTGGATCAATCATGATGAGGGTACAAATGAACATTGTATTAAGTAGACTCACACATGATTCTATGAAAGTCCTCTCAATCCAATTTGGCTTTTGTTGTGGTAAGGAGTGTAATAATGCTACATATTTCATCAAAACAACTCCAGGAAAATTGTATATGTGCCGTGTAAACCTCACAGCAGCATATGATCACATCAATAGAGACAATCACTTATCATACATTAGAAACTGCCTTCCAAACTTCAAAACCATTTTTTCTTTTGTTCTCTGACCAGGGGAAGAAGGGTCACCAACTTGAATTCTATAAGTACTCTTTATCGCTTTCTTCTTTTTTTTTTTTTTTTTTTTCTCTCTCAATGGAACATATTAACAAATATACTCAGTTTCTTTTAGAAATTACAGGCTTACATCCATATTCCATTGAGAAACCAGTTCTTGTATGATCAGTGAAATTAAGCAATGTCAAACTTGGTCAGTATCTAGATGAGTGACCACTTGGTAATACTTAGTGCTGTAAGCTTGGATGTGTGAATGGTGTAATAGATAGTGATATGGAATTTGAAATTGGAGAGAAGAGTTTCAATTACAATTGTGTTCATTATATTCGCTTATGTGCAAATGTCCTTGAGAAAGGTATGAATATACTTCTACCTCCAGATATGGACTGATTAGTAGGACTTGTGTCAGTAAATCATCATTATCTACAAAAATTCTTACAATCTAAAAATATTTTCTGGCTTTAAATAATGTGCAAAAGTAAACAAAATCAATCAAGCACATTTAGAAATTAAAAAAATAATAATCTTTACTATTTTTTTTTTTTTAACCGCTTGAAAATGCAATTGGAAAAAAGAATTTAAGTTTTGATTGACTCAATTTTTTTACTAACAAATTCAAACTAGCTTTTTTTGAAATGTTAATGCTTACTTTTTTTTAAAATTATTTTTTTGATTTTGTATATTAATTTTCTATTTTCTTTACTTTTTATGATTAATATAGTTTTACACAAAAGATAATTTTAAAAAGTCACTTTTTTTCTTCCTTTGTTTTCATCAGTAAATACGTTTTGTGTTTAGCAATGTTATCCTTTATTTTCTTGATTGGTTTGATTCAAACATTTATCTTTTTGATGAAAAATATTTTTTTTACTTTTAATGATAATGTTAAAACATTTCTCCAAGCACATGCAAAGAAAAAATACTTATTTCCTCAAAAAGCATGGCTCATTTGCATTCCTATTTTTCTTTTTCATTTTGGTTTCAATTCTTTTCCTATTTATCCTTTCCTCTACCACTTAAGAAATGGTCCTTGTCATGTGATGGCTACATAGCTATAGGAAATTGCTATCTATTGAATGTCTAGATCTGATAGTCATATCAGGTGAGGACCCCACTACCAAAACATTTCAAACCTCATCAGGAATGAGAAGGAGGAAAAGAAAGCCTCAATCCATTTAATCTCTTCCTAGGCTATGCTCTGAACATATACAAGCACAGACGTGAAGAGATGAGCACTGATCACTTAAATATTCCATACCATATCCCAAATGAATTTACTAATAGAAAACAGTGTTCCTGCTTCCCCTCCCAAGGCCAATGTACAGAGGATGAAAGTGGCTATGCCAATCCCATAGGTATTCATAGTTGGGGATAAGACTGATCTTAAGCAAAAAATCAACAGCCTCTACCAAGTGTTGCAAGAAAGAAGACTCAAGATAAACTTTTACAAAAAAGAAACTATGATCTTCGATTGGAATGAAAGTAGTGATGGCACCCACCCTGAATCCATGAAAATTCAGGATATGGAATTATTAAAAGTGTAGTTACCTAGTTAGGTACCTACACATTTTTGCAAAAAAAAAAAAAAGAAAAAAAAAAAGGCATAGCAAAAAAGTCCCCAAACATGATGAAAACAAAATTTTATCAAAATTCAAAATATTTAAGTTACTACTAAGAGGAAAGACCAAAGTATTTTATTATTTTCTTAAATTTTTTAATCCTTTCTAGCACATTCTAAATTTTAGTTAAACATAGTGCTTTTCTTGTGTCAGCAGTGGGAGAAAGATTACTATGGGAAATCTAACATCTTTTTTTGTGGTAAAAACACATTGTTTTGACCAAGACAATGAAATAATACATTCCACTCATATTCCTTCCTTCCAATTCTAGATGGAACAATAAAAAAAGTTGCAGGAGGAGAAAAAAAAAAAAGTCCAAGGTTTTATTGAACTTTTTAAAAAATTATTCAATAATAAATACAATTAGTTTTTTGTTTTAATTTTGTATTTTGAAAAAATATTTTTAAACAAACAAGTACCTCCCCCCCCACACACACACACACAGAATTTGAATGAATTTAAAATGAACATCTGGGTCATGAGGGCTAATTTCTCTGTCAACAATCCCTTTGAAGTCATTATTATGACTCTTAAACTGAATCTATTTTCTAATAAATGTAGTATTTTAAATGGATAAACAATTTAGAGTTGAAATTTAATCATCTTGCTGTCAGTGAAGCTAGAAGAAGACTAAATAAAAATGTAGTTTTAAAATAGACATTCAAATTAGGACATGAAATAATTTGATATTAGACAAACAGGAACATTACCTTTGCAGCAATTGCCTTCAGGTATTGCAATCTCATGTTTTCATACAGCATTTTGTAGCTGACGCTAACAACAGAACTGAAATAAATATATTGACAATGATTTTAGAAAAAAGATTTTTAAAATTTGACTACTAATCAATGATAAGTCCATATTCTTTCTCTGATATAATTATTATGGATTATTTTCTGTTGATGTTTACAGGGAGAGATAACAGACTTCAACACATTAACTGCTAACCACAGGCTATCACATGCCTGGCATTTTGTGATACATTTTCATCTGCAGATGTCAACAAATGATACTTTTAGCATGAAAACAATGTTAAGAGATCAATTGAAGCTATAAATTCACACATAAAATTTTTTGTTGGTTTGTGACGCTGAGGCTGTGAGGTAGTTAAACATTAATTCTGAGTAGAAAAAGGGTTAAGACCAAAATGAAATATAAACTGGAAGTTAGAGAAAGAATGGAAGAGATTTTCCCTGGTAATGTGGAAGTGAAAAACGGGTCATCTGGATTGTCTCCCGCCTACAAATTGAAATGATACACCAAGAGTTTACATTGTTTTTTTATCTATCGAAAATCTGTCATGCAGGTAAAGCAAATTGGGAAATGGCTTTATCTCTTTCTTGGAAAATTAGAAAAACACATGTCATTGGCGAAAAGAGAGGCAGACAGAAATTATATTTTCATTGGCAAAAACGAATTGAGAAATGAAAACTAGGAATGAAACCACTGCAAGGGTTAGGATTATGAAAATCAGTCCTGTCATAACAGGAAGGTGGTCTGGTTTGTGTTTTCATTAAGATGATGATCTGCCCAAGCTTTGTTGAAAATTTAGGTAAACAAATTTATTTTTGATGATGAAAACAAATTTGGAATCCATTGCACAGAAGGTTAAATGAGAACACAGTGGCCTGGTTTGTGTTCTCACTGGATAGAGGTAATAGTAGGGAAGTGGGAGGGAGTCAGAGAATTTAAATTAATGAGGAGAATAAACTACACCCTTTCAACTACACACTTTAAAAATTAGATTTGTCACAAAGACAGTTATGCCAGCCCTAAGAGGTGGGTAAAGTTAGAATAACAAGAAGAGGCAGAATTTAGCCCCACCTGTGTAGAGTAGTGGTGTGAGGTGTGAAGTGAAGCAGGTTGGAGTTAAGGGTGGAACACTCCCTGTGACTACTCTCAAGGAAGGTGGATAATTCTCCAAATTTGGAAAGTTGATTAAAAAAGTAGAAATAAAGAACAAAGAACCGTATTTCAATTAATGTAAAAATTAAGGAATCACTGAATACCCAGGACCCTTCAGTTGAGTTTGGGTCAGTGTATATAAGCAGATGATTTTGGGAGCTCAGAGACTTAGGCTGAGAACTTGTATTGAGTGCCTCTGGAATCCACATCAACTACAACCAGATTTCCTGATACCAAGAACTTTGAACCTAGCTCCTCCAGAAATTTAGACAAGGCCCAGTGTCACTTTTATAGATGCAGGAAGGGTTCGTTTTTTTTGTACTAAGAGCTATATAAATCTATTGAAGAGTATCCCCATGAATCTCTCATTTTATTTTTTGCCATGAAAATATTTTTCTTCCTTAATGTAACACCCACCATGGCTTAAGCCAGCACTGTGATACTACAACCTTCAATCTTTCACTGCTCTAAGATCAAGAACACAGTGTGGGTAGAGATGGTGTGGACTGATGTGAACAGCATCAGCATTGACCTGTGTAGAGCGATTAAAACGTCATCCTAAGACCCTGAGGACCGGACGACTAAATGTGGTTACACCACCAGCTGTAGACGGTGGTAAAAGGTGTTACAGCCTAAGTTGGCTATTATAAAGATGTCTTTGTCTCTGGTTAAGTGAGCATCTCTCCTAACATTAGTCCAGAATTCTTTGTTTTAAATGCTGTTTTTGTGTTGAATTTTTTTTATTTTATAGTTTTACTATTAAATTAGCCATGAGTCCAAAGAAAGTTCCAAGTGTGTCTTTGGGGAAGTGACTGGGTTTGGATGTGAATGGATAAGATGCAAAGGAGTTGGTAAAGGACCACAGGAAAGAGATGACTAATAAAGAACTCCAAGACCGTCAGCTAGGCCAGCAACAAACGACAACTGAGGAAATGTCTTCAGAAGAGGAGGAGAGAGGGGAGTATGAGCCTTCTTCAGTGATTAAGAACATTTGTTCAAAATGGAGAGAAGGTGCAAAGTTTTGTCGAAAGATATCATGCTAACAAAGCTGTTTCAAGTCGTGTTGTAAATATGTTTAATGACAATTCCTTGTCACATTTCAGGCAAATTCTAAAATGGAAAAAAACAAACCTCTCTAGAAAAGTTTTTAGTGAGAGAAGGATCAGTTAGTCTCAAATAAGTTCTAATGGCACAGACAGGGAGAAGGAGAATAACCACAGAAAAAGACTTAACTGATGTCTTTATGGTGGAGGATCCCCCTTTGAAACAATAATACCTTTCCTCCTTCTCCTTCCTCACTGTCTTACATACACTAACAAAAATCTTCAATAAAGCTAAAAGGTGAAGTGAAATGTTCATTTATTCTATTTCATTTATATTTATTTCTTATTGTTTTCTGTAAGTAAAACTATAGTTATTATGTATTTTTGTAAATATTTTTGGGTGTGTGGCACAGATTAATTGGATTTACATTATTTCTTATGGATATATTATCTCAGTTTTCATCCAACTTTCTGGAACAGATTATGGCTGATAATTGAGTTTCCGGTGTACATTTGTTACTTACAATTATGCAAGCAAGACTAAGCAACATCTTCATCCTGTAAGTTTACCAAACAATAGGAAGCAAGAAATATTTTCACAAATAAAATGTTTACCTGCACATCTGCCATTCAGGTAGTTGTTTTGGAATATGAAGAGCTTTACGGACATTTTCATCATTAAGATATACTGTACTGGCAGTACCATTAATACAAGGAGGAGTCAGGCGTAAATTCTTTTGGGGCATTGCTTTGACAAACTGAAAAATTAAAAATATATTTTTATAGAAAAACATTTTTAGAATTGAAATGATATTAGATTTCTTCCTGTTTTCTACATAGACAGGAATTTTAAATTAAAAATTAATAGATATTTATTTAAGTGTAATGGTCTTATACAAGTCCATTGTTGTGGAGCACCAAGTAGGAAGATAACTTATGGAAGTCTGCAACTATTAACTCAAAGATGACTTAATTCTCTAATAGATTTAATATCTATTAATGTCAATGTGAATTTATAATAAAACATGTCAGTATCAATAATTATAATCATTAATTTTAATTATTGATCAAAATTTTTGTCAACAGGATTTCTTGAACCAAACCCCATTCTCTCAGTTGGACATTCATCAGGTGTCCCCAGACAGTTTTCTTAGCAGTGTTGAACCATGACACTTCATTTCTTTAGCAATTTACCCTTTCCTTCTTTTTTTGACAAAGGATATAAATCATTTCTATAACTTCAGCTTTTGTTCCCAGAAAACATTAAAAATATTATCAGTTCTCTTCATGTTGGCAAAATTCCTTGACCTAGCTTCACCCATAAAATCCTGAAGTTTACCAGATGGCTTTCAAGTATACAAGGAATCAGGGGCCATTACTATTGCTTCCCTTCTTGGGTTATGGTCAGCGGGAAATTCCATAACTTGCATTTTAAATAGTGATTATCAATCAATGTCTCTATTTTGACCTTGTCTTAGTTAAATCCTCTGCTGACTTGAATGTTATTACACCACCTTTCCCCATCCCTCATGGGTTTGAATTATCCAGATGGCTTTTTCAGCTAGATTCCTCAAAATGATAAAGCCATTTTACTTCAAGTCAGCCCTATTCCCTTTCTTTATGGTTTATTCAGATGAAAAACATTCTGAATTTTAATAAAATCCTGCCTCGTCTCTTGGTATGTTTATCGGGCTATCTCTTAACTCTTCTAGCGTTTTATAGTGTTACAATGATGCCAATTTATCTCAACCAAATCAATGAGTACTTCTGTGCCCATCTTCCAGAGAGTCAAATGAGCTTTTATTTACAATGCCATTTGCTGCAGGGTAACATTCAACATTCTCCAAGAGTAACCAAATGCAATAGAAACTTAAAGGCAGATATTACAACTTCCAAAATACATTAAAAATAAAACACTTCCCAGAATAACAAAGATGAGGAAATTGGCCCAAATTTATCAATGTTTTGTGGCTAACCTTTATTAAAAGCAATATCACATTTCCATTTAAGTTCCACTTCACAACAGTTTGTGGTTCCAAATTTTAAATGAAACTTTCTGAACAGTTTTAGAAATTTAAACAAAAACTGATTCTTTAATAGTTAAAAAAAAAAAAAAAAAAAATCTAGATTCTTACCGATTTCTGTTTCTGAATATATTTGATGTTGGGGAAGTGATAAGTCAAGTCATAATATGAAACAAGGCCAGGAGCAAATTTTGTAGTCTCACACTCAGCATACAAGTTGTACATATTTAACCCAATGCCGTAAATATGGTTCACAGCTGCTCTGACCTAGACAAAAATAAATTTGAATTTTTTAAAAATATCAAATTTAAAACAAAAATAAAATAAAAATCTATATAATTGTTTTTTTAACCATTATATTATAGTTCTGCTTGTCCCTTCCTTCCTCAGTTAAAACATACATTACACCCTGCCAATACCTCATAAATAATAGACTATTCTATTTTGATGTTGAGGAAAGGACAGAAAACAAGGCACTGTTTGCTTTCAATGAGAAAAAGAAAAAAAGAAAGATGTTTAACCTGCTTCAGTGAAATGGGAAAAAAAACTTGTCATTTTCAAATCTTTTCATTTGTACCTTCTGACTTCTTTAAATAATGACCAACATTTGTACTTTATGTAAAGTTGTTAAGCTCAAATATTTAATGAAGCAACAAAATTCCCATGGGTATTTTATAGTCATAGAACTCACACTTACAAAGAGCTTATTGAATCATTAACTTAAAATTATTTCATCAAAACCATTAAATTTTCACAGGTATTACTAGTTAACTAATAATTTCATGTACCATGGATTGTGAATGTGAGAACACGATTTGCTAAGCCAATTTCTGTGTCTTTAAAAAAAAAAAAATCTTATCTTTTTGCCAATCCATGTATTGATTTTGGTACCTGATAATGTTGAGACTGATTCAAAGGGATATTCTATCAACCCATCATATCAGTTCAGATGTCAGTGCAATGCTAGAATAGGTCAAAGGTTGGAAACACAAATCAACCAACATGTACCAGCTAATATACACAAGGGCAAGGTGGACAATTTGCATAGATGTGTAAATACAACAGGTTTAGCGATAACAGAATGCTTGAAAAAAAAAAAAAAAAAACAGTAATATGCCTGATCTTATAGGCAAGACATTTTCTCAGTGCTGAAAAAGGCTAATTCTGAGTTTCACTTGAAAGTGTTGAAATCTGTTTACATTAAGACCTACCAGCCACCTCTCTGCAAGCAGGAATGGTTGGTAGGGTTAAAGGTAATTAGACTGTAAGTGTTATATTTTCCTATAACTTTTGTATTGGGTTTTTATTTTTAGTTGCTGCTTACATTTTTGTCCTTGATCTTAGCTCTGATGAGAGTGAACTGATAAACTGGTTTAAATGTCTTTTTTGTTAATCATGTTGTATTCTGATATTACCATTTTATGCCAATATTTTTTTGTTAACCCTCATTTTTTGTTATAAATATTCTTCTGTTAATCTGTTTCTATTACACTAATAAAATTTTGTATTCCTGCAAAAATATTTTTTAGTAACAAGAAAATATTTAGATAGTAAGTTGAGGTGAAAGTTTGTTTCCCAACAATATTAGGTTGAGTCATAAGTAATTTCTGGTTTTGGAAACCACTAATCATGATGATTAATGTACCATTGTCACCACTAATCATATGTGGCAATTAAGAATAAATTTAGTTTTTGTACAGCAGTGGCAATGGCGGCATACACAGTGGATTAAAGGAAAAATGTTCTCCACCATGTCAATTCAAAGCTGCATACAACTAGAATAACACAGGAAAAAATTTTGGAACACATTTGGTCTGTTGTAAACCACCTGCCATATTCACCTGACTTTGCACCAACCAAGCATTACATTTTTTGATTGCTGCAAAACACTTTGATGGGGAAAACTTTAATAAAACCAGATTCAAGAGTTTATTGAAAACTTTTTCACATCAAAACCAGCGGAATTTTACTCAAAAGGTATTGAAGAGCTGGCGAATAAGTAACAATGAGTCTTTGCAAATAATGGTGAATATATAATTGAATAAAAAGATGGAATTTTATTTTCAGTCATTTCACCCGAAGCAAGGCAATAAAACCACTAAGATGCAAAGGGTCACTGAGTGAGAGACAGTATGAGAAAAAAATAAAAATCTTATTAAGGAACAACAATAAAAGAACAGGAATTAAGAAGACAGAAGATAACAATTGACATTGATCTTTAAAAATTTAAAGATCAAAGTTGACTGGAAAGAAAGAAACTGGAAGAGAGTTCCACAAGTGAGAAGTGCGAGAAAAGAAAATATTAGCATAGAACTTATGGTTACATCTAGCCAATTCAATGGTAAAATGATTAGACTTAATATCTTGTATTATATTTATTATTGTTCTACAGTTTAATGAAATACTTACTAATCATTAATAATGTTTATAAGACTAATCTCTTTATTTCTTAGGAAATCTAACAGATTCTACCAAAATTTGTTGAAAAATTCTAATATTCATTTTATTAGTTTTTGACAGTATTTCTTGGTAAATAAATAAACAGAAATAAACATTCTATCTAATTTTAAAAGTTTTTTTTACTGCATAATTTTTTTTTTATCTAGCAGTCACGCCTTTAATAGACTTAAAGAGATAACTTGTAAATAATTTTCTTTACATTACCACAGCACACACTTACATAGAAATGCTAACCTCTGATAACTGCTAGGTGGCAAGATATGACAAATCCTTTATACAAAGACTAGTTTATCAGTACCATCCAAAAATTCTTATATTTTATAACTAGAGTACAACTGCAAAATAATTGTCCATTTATTTGAGACAAAATTAAAATACTCTTAAGACAAATTTTTATTTGTCATGTTTACAATATCAAAAAAATTCTATTTCTACTATGTCATCAGGAGAGTTTACTACAAGGACGAATTGCCCATCTTTAGGTTGTATACTCTTATGGTCTTCTAGAAAAATGTCACACATACACATAAAAACAATAAAATAATATATTTGTGCATGCATACACATATTATATTTTATTTTATATATGTTAATAAATGATGCTTGGCAGAGGACAGCAAAAATAGTTATTCCTCCCTAACTTAAGAGGTATTTCACTTATGATGATACATTATACTTAAAGCATTGACAGTCTATTTACACTATTTACATGCACACTATTGCCCTCATCCTTGTTGTTGTTATTACATTTCATCAGGTGTATGTTGATCTGGGAAGCCTTCAGGGAATTCCAAACTGAACACTTTATTTAATCTACAGAGGTAGACTGTTCTTATTCCACTGCTCATGTCTAGGGTTATCTTGTCTAGTTCTTATCCCTAGACATGGACAATGGAATGAGAAGAGTTTACCCCCTTGATTAAATAAAGGGGCTCAGTTCGTAATTCCCTGTAATTTATCTGGATTGACAAACCTGATGAAGGCTGAATGACACAATGAAACAATAACAGCAACAAATATAAGGACAGTAATCTGCATGTAAATAATGATAACTTCTTATCCCAGAAATCCAGACAGATATTGATAGTCTAGTATATTTTAGACAAGACAGTATATATTTCTCTTAGAATTCTTAAATAGCTTAAAATTATTCTTTTATACCTAAAGTGTATCACACATTTCCCACAAGTGACTTGTAGCTAAAGAACCATTTATGCCAAGGGATTTTAAATCCTCCATAATTTAAAAAAAAATTTTTTTAAATACTCACTACATCAACACACAAGTGTGACATATTCTTTGTAAAGCTGCACTCGGTACGGACAGAACCGCAACAATATTTCTGCAATTTTTCATAAAGGCTATAAATAGAAAAACATAATCCAAGATAGAAATTACACCATGCTTTTTATGTATTAGACATGTTTTAACCCTTTAGCATTGAACCCTTCCCATAAATATCAGCTCCCAATGTTCAACTTGCTGTAATCCGCCCCATTCATACTTTGCCATAATATATGACATCATCATTACGAATAGTGCAAGAAGTTACCTAAAGAGTGAGACTTTGACCACAAGCAATGAGATTAAAGAGTCAATGTTTACAGGGCAGGTTTGAGCATGTTGAATGTTAAAGGGTTAAAGGGTACATTAAAGTCAAGACCCAGTGAATTTTGCTACTTGTGACTTTGGGAGCTACTTAATAAACTGGTTGACATTGCTAAAAAAATAAATAAACAAACAAATAAATAAAAAAGAAAAGAAAAAAACAAAGATATAAAGTTAAAATTTAGTTGTATTGAACCTTAAAAAAGCTAAATCTGACAATTCTGCATTTAGGCTTAATAAAAAAAAAAAAAAAAAAAAAAGTTTTAAAATATTTTTCAGTTATAGCTACAAATAAAAGTTTTTAAAAGTACTGGCTCAGAAAGTAGATTGATTATTTAAAGATATGATCAGAAGAAATATATCCTCTCAAACTTTTGATACTTAAACATGCTATAAAGCATCCAAACAGATGACCTACCATATTTCCTGTATACAAAGATGCATGTTTTTCCTGAAAAATGCCCTAAGAAAAATCAGTCTTAGTACTGAAAGGTTAAATTATAGAGAAGAGTTTGCCAACCCTAACAAACTCCTGACATATAAAACTACAATTATCATTATGTGTAATAAATACTATATACATCTCATTAGTATCATACTATGTATATTGTTTTAGCAAGTACTGATAACCAGTAGACAGCTTCCTACTAGTACTGTAAGTTTTTCATTCATCTAGGCATACTGTATGGGATCTTCACAAATCTTGCCCCTAGCCACATAATACAGGCTGACAGTTATGTTTCATATAGATCCAAAATGTGATAATTTGTTGTGATAGAAAGAAAAATGACATTGTAGAGTTGGCAACTTGGACTCGCTAGTACAGTAAGCTATTAAATGTGCAAATTTGTTTTTTTAAAAAAAAAAAAAAAAAAAAAAAAAAATTAGCTATTTATAGGATACGTCTTATCACTTGTAACATCTTAGCATATGGGAAACATGGTAATTTTAAGTCTCACGTCTTAAGTTTCACAAAGCAGTATTGCCATTATACAGGTTTTAAGCAAAAATAAAACAAACAATATCAAATTTCTTAAGATCAAATATCATGTAAAACAAAAGATGTATAAATAATTGACATCAAAGTAAGAGATTTGAAAGATAATATCTGTTGAGGTTTTAAAAAAAATATTGTTAGTGAATATAAGAACTGATAAAATTTCTTCAAACAACACTTTGATATCAAGTGTATCAATGTCAAAGATTTTCTGTACATCTAGAAAATATGTATTCACACTTATTACATCAACCAATATTAAAATGGTAATGATTTGTATCCTATCATTGTCAAAGAGAAAGAGTTGATATACCATGAGAACATTGCAGATAAGTGAACATGATATTGATACTCAAGTTCATTAACTTGAGTTAGGACACCAATATTTAGTTGTTAATTAAATATACTTACTCAGATCCAAAGAGGCCATGATAGTAAGCAAAGTGGATGATAGAATTTTCATTCATGTTAAAGTCACTCATACCATTGCCAACAGCAAATCCCTTAATAAATGAAAATAGGTTCAAGTTTTTATTTTAGAATTGATTATAACAAAATAAATTCAAGTGATAATGTCAGCTTATCTAAGTTGAGTTTGTGTGGTCAAATCCACTTTTAATATAAAATAAAAGAAAGAATCAACAAAGAGAAATAAGAAAACAAAGTGTGCATTTCTAACATTTAGAGTACAAGATTCTTTTAACTTTAATAATGTAATACAAAATTCTATAAAATAGCAACAGCTTTTCCTGTGGTTTGTAAAAAATTTTTAAATTTTATAATAAAAATTAGAAAATAAATTGAGATAAAAAGTGATTACTTTCAGACCTTTTTGCATTATTGACACACATAGAAACTATCTTTATATACTAGCTCTATTCTATCAATAACACTTGCCTTAATTCCTGGCTAGTGACAATCTTTTTTAAATTTAAAATATCTGTCTGATCAAATTATTTAAAAAATTTCCCCTACTGACAGAAAGAATTTTAGCACAAGAAATAATTGACTAAATAGAGAAATTAGTTAATGCCAAACCTTTACATTTGTTAAGAGACACGGATGCCATAATGACTAATTTTTTACCCTTCTCCCACATGAATTCTGTAAATACAGACCAATGGTTCACAAATTTTTTGCCCAATTCATCCTTTTCACTATAAGTTAGAATATCACTCCCACTTTCATGATTATCCAACTCAAAAGGTGCATTCCAAATAATATGTATATATTATTGAAAATCTTCATTCTTTTCTATATTAATACATATACATGGATTATTTCCATAAAGGAGATTTTTTTTACATTTATGATGGGTTCCAAATTCTATAAATAGAGATAAAAATAAGTAAAAAGACACCCTCCCCACTCTCACACACTCTGTAGTGTTCTCCACAGGTTAAGAACACTTTATATAGATGCAATCATAAGAGTTTCTTTTTACATATTTATTTGATAAATCCTATTTGAATGTGGTAGTATGTTAGAAAAAGTCAATTTAATCAGATTAGACTTATTGATAAGTTCAGTCATATTTGTTCTATTGATAAGTTGTAAGTGTCTATGCCAAAGAGAAAAAGAAAAGCAGAAAGAAAGATTTTATTACTCACTTCAAAGTTTATAGATGGTTCTTCTAAAAGACGTTCAGACAAAGTTGGTACATAAATACCACCATAGCTCTCACCACTTAGAAAGAATTTATTCTTTTTGTATTCTGGAAATTTCTCAAAGAAACTCTTTATGGCAGCCAAATTATTGGCAGATACCTTAAAAAAAAAAAAAAAAAAAAAAATAAAAAAAAAAAAAAAAAAATAAAAGTGCTTTTAGAAAAAAAAAAAAAAAAGCATTTATGGTTCAAACTTTTATGTTGTTTAAGTGAGGGTTCAAATCACTTGAAATTTAAATTTAAAAAAAAAAAAAAAAAAAAAAAAAAAAAAAAAAAAAAAAAAAAATTTTTTTTTTGTAATTAGCCAAATACCTGTCCTATAAACAGAGAAAAGTTGTCATAGAAGTTTCCTTACCTCTCAAAAATTTCTGTGTAAACATTTTCAACAAGACATCTATTTTATAAAGTTCTTTTTGTAATTATGCTAAGTTGACTTGAATTTCCTACTCTGGTTAATTACATAGAGCTGACTATAAGAGAAGCATTTTAATCATTTTCCATTTGTATTAATAATAATAATAACAATTAATTCACCAAACTTAATATTTTTCCCTTGTTTAAATGATTTGGTACAATTTTATGAAAATCTAATTAAAAAATTATTTTGACTTATTTACGTAATTCCATAAAAATATTTTTCAGCTCCATTTAACTAATTAGTAGTATAGTAGTAGTGAGAAATAGCAATGACAACAATGCTTATTATGAATGATGGCAAATATAAATTCTTTCTATACAAACAATGAATTAAAAAAAAAAAAATATCAACAGAAAAACATTGCAATCGCTATTTAAAAAATTTTGAATTAAAAATAAACACAAGAAAAATATTTATTAAAATTTGTCTCTTCTGGCTTTTTTCTTCCCAGTCAACTTTGTTCTTCAAAAATGTAAATGCAATGTCAATCATTATCTTCTGTCATCATAATTCCTGTTCTTTTATTGTTCTCTCTCTTTAATAGTGTTTTTTTTTTCTCATATTCTCTAACACTTATTAATCCTTTGCATCTCAGAGGCTTTATTCCCTGGCTTGGGGTGAAATGATTTTATGTTAAAGAATAAATATTGGACTGCACAAACTAATAGTGATTTACCCCTTTCTTCCACCATCTGATCCCTTATTTTCAATATCGAATTTCAGACTAAAATCAGGGTGAAAAGGGAGAGGCTCTCGTTGATGGATTTTGGTGAAGTAGTAGTTGAACATGAGTAGGAGACATTGCAGAAAAGATATATGCATTTTAATTTTATATTATATTTAAAAATTGACACTTGTATGCATGGGCATCTATCCAATCCTTTTTGCTGACACCTGCTCAGACACATTTGCATTTGTTCAACACCCACTGAGCCCACCAACTATGCTGAGCAGACTACAGTTTTTTGGAAAATGCATTTCATCTGGTGTGATCAATATTATTTTGAACAAGGACAGTACAGTCAAATTCTGTCATGATAACTTGAGACTTCATGCTAGCACAACTGCCAACAGCTTAATCTACTCAAATTCACACAGGTTAACACATAGCATGATTTTCAGACATTTTCCAATGGTACCACAAACTGAGAACACCTCCCCAGACCAATAACATCAACCACCTTGACAAATTGACCATGATGAGATTCAAACCCACTCACTCAGGCCCCATGATCAGAAAACAGACATTCTAGCCACTTGACCATGTGCTTCCACACATACAGATATACATACATAAACACACACACACATATATATATATATATATATATATATATACGCACACGAACACACACACACATATATATATATATATATATATATATATATATATTACCAATTTGTGACTTGTACAAATAATTCTAAGGAGGATATTAATCCAGAGAGAGCTCAATGTAAACTACAAAGCATTATAATAATAATAAATCAAGAAAACCTTAAAGATCCATTTAGGTTATAATTTATTTCATGAATATTTCTATATATTCATCTATTCAGACCAAAAGGTCTTAATAAATGGAGACAATTTCTCCAGACCGATGTACAAATTTCCACAATTTAAAGAAAAAAATTCTTGGCCAGGTCATTCTATTTTAGTTTTACTATTATCCCTTCACTTCTTCCCTTTCTTTACACTCTTTCTCCCTCCTCCTCTCTCTCATGTTTTAAAAAGAACTTTATAATCTGTTATTTTTCTTTCTTTCTTTCGCTTTCCCTTCCTCCTATAACTATAAAATTATAACTGAAATGGATGTTTAGTATTTTCATCTTGATTTAAGAAACTATACTCGCTCGGAAAACCTTCGGTGTATTGATTTGCAAATAAACAAGCCGATACCAAAGGGAAAAAAAAAACGGTATAAAAAAAAGAAAGAACCAAGAACATGTACAAAAATAATTGTCCAGCATACGAGTCCAAGACCCAAAGAAAAAAAACCCCGATGCGAGTATTCAAAATAACTAAATAAATTGCTCAATACAATGAGTAGAGCAGACCTAGGACAATCCGCTTAGGTGAAACCTTGGTAGGTTTGTCTGACTCTCTAGGTTTAACTATATATATATATATATATATATATATATATATATATATACACACACACAATGTGGACATAGTTATCATCATCAGTGTTGTTTTCTATGCCTTAAGTGATCTTCAAACCACCGACACTTACCATGCAGTGTTGATTTCTATGTCTCTATCCAGAAACTCAATCTTTATTGTTGAGCACTCTTCCCCTATAAAATTGTCAATTTGAAACAGTGTGTGTGTGTGTGTGTGTGTGTGTGTGTGAGTGAGCAAGAGAGAGAGAGATGCTTGGTCAGATGATTAGTTGTTGGTTGGGCTAAGTGTTTTTCAGCATGACCACATAACATGTTAAGGATTTAGTGTTTCATTAAGGAAAAAAAAAATAGTAAAAACTTTGACAATTTTACCAGTAAGTTTCATGACGTGTATAAATTTTCATATCCTATTTAATCATTTAACAAACAAAAACTTTAACAGACACTGACAAATTAAAAATGAAAGCAATTTCACTGTCTTTTTTTTAATACATCTTAAACTTACTTGGTCATCATCAGTTGCATAGTCTTCATCATCTGAATATGAATAACCAACACCAGCTGGAGACTCCAAGTAGATTATATTTGCCACCTTTACAAAAAGAAAAAATTAGATTCTTTAATTAAAATGGCTTATTTCTATACATATAGTATAATGATTTAAGGTGCAGAAGTGGGAATTGTTTGCCATTCAAATTACCACATTGTCTGTTGCATTCACCTTTACACAATTGCCCTTGAGAAATGCTTGAAGTCATCTTTTCTCTTTCCATCAGCTATAGATTAAATAACAGAGTAGATTAAGTTCTCTATCCTTAGTTTACTTTAGAGAAGAAAAACTGAATTTCAAACTGTAGAGAATTTAATGGGAAACCATTCTGCTATCTTTTCCAAGAATACATAGCAATTCACAGATAATAAAGAAAAAATGAAAATGTGGAAATAAGTTTTCCTATATCTTGAAGGATGATATATTTTTAATTTTTTTAAATTAAAAAAAAAAGAAAAAAGAACCTGTAACATGTTATCAAAGAATTTCATTAAAATATCAGACAAATCAATCTGAAGTTTCATTCTTATACATGGAATGTTTAAGTTTTATTATACACAGGTTTATATAATTGACTGTTATAGTGGAACACTCCTATTTTATAGTTAATAGACTCTCCCACCTATAATAAGTAGGAGTAGTAAGAGTAAAGAGGAGTCACTCAGTGGGTCGGTCAGTCAGTTGATGCCGGACGACCGTTAGTCGGATACTAATGTATCAGTGACCACAGCTAGATTACTCTAAGTCATACCTGTTATATGAAGTTCCTAACGTTTTGTACGTCAAACCTATTTTAGGACCGGCTTAATACAAATACAAGCCTCCACTGTGAAATCACTCCACAACATTGACTAAACTGATTCTCTCTGCCATTTTGCACATTTTTTTTTTTTTTGCTTAAATCTTCTTTCTCCGTATTTCTTCTCTTCTCCAGTCTTATTGAAATAAAAATTTGACATTCTTGATAAGAGCTTGGATATAGTCATACTCCAATAGGTAATTAACTATTTGACAATATAGCTAGTTTATGACAAGATAATATCATTTCTAACCTCATTCCTCCAAAATCATATCCTTTAAATTAAATTTGATTCCTCTTTTTTTCTTTCTTGCCTTTGATTTTCTCCCTCTCATCAAAGGTGGTGGAAATAGCGAATGTTATACACCTTGAAACCTAAAAGAAACAATGACTTAACACACCATCAATGTGTTCTTTTCACATTTTGTATTTTTAAAATATGGATCTCATGGAATAGATATCTGTATCTAGGTAATTATGGGCTTGAAGTTCCAGGTCAAATAAGAGTCATTTAGTTTCAACCAAAGTAACCTTAAGTCAAAAATTAGTATTTTTTACTTTTGTTTTTTTTGTAAACAATCACAGCTCTCTACAGATTTCTTTAATATCTGTGAATTGCTGATTTCTTGAGAAGTATATATTGGCATAGTTTCCTTTTTTCTCAATGTTTTGAATTCAGACTAGTCTTTCTAGGCTTGAGAGCCCAGTCTACTCAGCTATTTAACCCATAGCTTTAGGGCAAGAAATGGATTTTTCCCATGCTTTTTGCACAAAAATGAATGCAACAGACTAGGCAAAAATTTGAACTAAGCTCCCAAACACAGTCCATTTCCCAAACTGATAAATTCTATGCACATCCTCAAAAACCACTATACAACTTGTTAAACATTCAACAACATCTTAGCATAAATAATAAAAAGAAAAATAATTTCAATACAAATTAGCATTACTGTTATTTTTCTAAAAGTTCAAGAACATTACCATAAACAATATACACACCCAAGGCTTGGGAATGATTTCTATTTTAAAGAGCAGTTAAATAACTTTGCTAAGACCGGGGATAGTTCCAGGTTGATATTCTTAAGGACAACCACTGGGATTTTGTCTGGGTCGGTGGCTTTCTTAGGGTCAAGGCTTTTGATAAGTCTTAAGACTTACCAGACTGTGATAAAAATACTACTGAGCTTGTGCTCAGTAAGGAGATATCCAATGTCTTCTGATGTTGAGTTAGAGGCAAAGATTGAAATGAAGATCATTGCCTTATCTGCTGAGGAAGATATGTGGCCATTTAGTGGGCACAGGTGCACTTCAACATGGTGTAATGGTTAGCAAGATTGTCTCACTAGATCAATTACAACTGAGTAGTGAGTTTGATTCTCACTGGGTACTCCATACTCCTGACCTTGTGCCACAACTAAGTTATGCTTAGTAAATCACTATAATAGTGGGCACAGTAGCAAAGAATCATTCTGTGAAATAGGAAATCAGGGGATGTCTTTTGTTTGATATCAATTTGGACACTGACTAGGAAATGGTCTAACATGGAGGGTAAAACTTTTACTACACATTTTTCAGGGCAGGATGTGAAGAAGAGTTTGAGGTGGTTCACCTGATGTCCCATTGCATCAGGGAAGTGGGTGGGTACTTCGATGATCTGATCTAGTTCATAGGTGATGGAGAGATCTCTGCAATATCTGCCTTCTTTGGTTTTGTTTAAGTGGACTAACCACTCTTTGTGCTGAATTCAATATTCAGCACAAATGATTGCTGAGGAAATTCGTTGAGGATATTATCGATCCACTCAGATATTTGATGAAAAATTAGTGTTCCATCATCCTGAGGACGATAGAGATCAACAATGAATGTGGTACTACAGGTAAGTATCACACTGAAACACGTATATGGGAGATCAGGGTCCTCATTTTTTGTATCCCCCGCCACAGAGAAACCCATCCTTAATGTAGGCGCTGATTCTGTGGCTGTGATAATTTAGGTAGTTGTGTTTGGCTATTAGCGGTGAGTAGCCCAGGATTGTAAGTTCCTGCAGTGGTAAAGAGTCATTGATGCTTGATTCTGACAGAAATAGAAGGTTGGATTTGGCCTAAAGAAGATAAAATTCCACCTCTTGAAAGCAAGAATTAGACCCCTCACATTGGTGTAGGAGATAATATACATGGGGTGTAATTTTTTTTTTGAGGTTGCTAATTTTGTTCATTTTCACTGAATTCATGAGTAGGATTGAAGTGTTGTTGTAGGAAGACTAGTAGGTAGTAAAACAGATTCACCCACAGGCGATGCATACATAAATACTCTGGACTGAATTGTCTGGAGATACAGCCATAACAGTATCCTTAATCATGGCATTGAGAGGCCCCACCAGAGATTACTATATCGTCCAGAACCCATTCACAACATCACAGTATAACAGCCCTGATATTATACAACTGCTGATAGGATAGCCTCTTTCAAAGTAACTCAAAGATTCAAATCCCTGACAATCAGGCGGATAATGCCAAAATCCCAGAAAATATTTGCTTCCAGCACCTTTAATGAAGAGACAAAATAATCCAGGAAAGAAGATACAGGCATGTTACCCCAAGTGTACATGTCTTGCCTACCCAGAAGTCAAACAAAACTCTTCATTAGGTCAGAAACATCATACTGGCCAGAGACCTAAGGTCCCAAGACAAGCTTGCTCATATATATAAAAAGAAATATATATGTTACATTGTAATAAATTCTCTTTCCTCCAGTTTCATATTTGCAATTCCTGCCTATCCATTACTGAGAAGTTGCTAATGGATGCAATAAACCTGGCTAACATTTACCATAAACAAACAAGACATTAACATCATTAAATAGACTCAGAAACCCATTCTGTTCCATGAAGTTTCCCTGTGAACCATCTGTAGCAATCCTGACTTTAGTATTGCCATGGGTGCATTTGATTCAGTGGAAGCTTGCAAGCTAGTTTGCATACTATTACTTTGGCATCTTAGGTTTATCTTTGTTATTAAAAACTCCAGTCTCTATAGGGACGACAAGATTATATTCCTACACAAATGAAGCACACAAAAAGCTGACTGTCTAAGAAAAAACCTAATCATGTTCTTCGAAGACTACAGTCTAAGCATTACCACCACCACCAATGCTAAAATAATTAATTTCCTGGCTGTAACATTTGACCTATCTAATGGGCTTGGCTTCACAAACATGCAACCATAGCTACATCAGCAAACAATCTAACCATCATCCTAGAATACTGATTAATTTACATAAGTTGGTCCAATTTAGACTGTTCTCCAACTCTGGCAATAAGGATATTTTTGACAGACATAATGGCAAATACATAGAAGCACTAGAACATAGTAACCATAAAATTAACCTTGAATTCCTAGCCAATTACGTTAATGACATCAGCAAACCAAAATGTTGTAATATTATATGGTTTAACCCGCTCTCCAACAAAAACATCAAAACTAATATCAAAAAAACTTTTTGAATTTAATCCATAAGCACTTCAGTCATTCCCCAATGCTAAATAAAATTTGATGCCATTGATTGGTTCAATAAAATTATTGAACCAATCAATGGCATCAGTGGTATTATGCCACTGGTTGTTGATTCCTAAAGCATTTCATGTGTATTTGCAGCCTCTTTCTAGTAGTATATTATTGTTTATCATACTGATGTTATTGTTTGATGGGTTGATAAGCCAGTATTGGAGGTTGTATGGGAAGTTTTCTTTGTGATGTTCCACTGTAATGAATGCCTTGAACATTGAGCACTGTTTTTTCTTAAACTACAGAGTTTAAATATATATGTATTTGCATATGAATGCTTGCTCGTACATTTACCTATATTTATCCATTTGGTTATATATATGAGAACTAAAAGACCAAGTGGGAGAGGTGGGGATAATGAAAGTTGCTTGGGTTTACTAAGATTGTTTATATAAAAGATTTCAGATTAAACAGACTTACACAAACTTTCACATACGTGTTAATGTGCATATGAAAAATTGCTTAAAAAGGCTGACTTAACATAATCTGACTGCATATGAAAACGTTTTTTTTTTTTTTTTTGAAAGGACTACTTGGTCAGGTTTTCATACAAATAGATAGCTTAAAAAACATATAATTTTATATATATATATATATATATATATCTTCCCAAGTAAGATGAGAATGAATAGAATATAATCCCTACATTTGTAACATTTAATTTAAAAGAGGGCTCAATAAGAACTAGTTTTAAATACTTACCTGATTCCAACTGTAAGGATTATATTTCAGCGATCCATCCGTCTGAATCTATCAAATTAAAAGGCAAGAGAGAATTCAGATCAATATTTAGTTATCTTCAGATATTGGGAAACAGACATTTTGAGAGAGTTTTATCTAAGAATATATTTCAACTCATTGAAATCATTTTTAAAATTTCATAATACAAGATATTTCAAATATGATTATATATGTGCATATATATCTTTTTCAGGACCTTCTCCATGTATATGTATAAGCTAATGTCACTTTTGCTTTTGTCACACTAAAAGCAAACATGCAAAGTGAAACCTTCCTGGATTTGAACTGTCAATCTGGAGATAAGCATGTAAGCAACATATCAATATACTGCTGTGAAATATTCAATGAAAATTCAGTTTGGCTAAATAACTTTTTTTTGTTTTTGCTTTTTAAATAATTTGTAATTATTTCAATGAGAAATATATTGCAACCAATAGTGTGTTAAAATGATGGGATTAGAAATATACTTTTTTATTTTATCAATTTGTAGCAGACCATGGGTTTACACATTGTTAAATTAGGAACACATGTGTAACTCCTGATAGAAGAGAGTCCACTCCAAGAATATGGCAGACTCAAGTTGAGTCCAACCAAAGATATGTAAAAGAAACAAACAAGTTTGATATACATATATAAACAAGTATATGTATTAAACAACAAAATTTACAAGGGACAAAAACATTAACATTTGTGTTTGTGTGTGAATGTAAAGAGTTTGTATTTTGATGAATGTTTGTACATACGTGTATGTCTGTTTTATGGCATTTTCCCACAAGTGGGCAAAACGTAAATCTCAGTGAGAGATCATATCTTTTAAATGAGTCCACTGAAATGCAAAGTAAAAAAGAGAACGAGACAAGAAATTGCCCAGTATTTATAATGTAGGGAGAGTATCCCCTAGTGAACAATTTCAACAATTAAGGAGGAGTTAACTCCAACAAATTCATATTAAAATGATTTTTTTCAAATCTCACTGCCACTCAACTAAATGTAATAATTAATTTTTTAATTTATATTAAGAGTAAATCTGATCGGTTTGATAAGGTCAAATTAGCAGCTGATCTCAAAAGTGTCATAAAATCTGTTGCTGACTGAGGCAAAGAATGGTTTCTTAATTTTAATGCTTCCAAAACAAAACTGCTTTCTATTGATCATCCGAGAGCCTTTTCTGCTTTCCATCAGCATGGCTGATACTAATCTCCAGGAAAGCGACTTGTGGCACCTTCTCAAGCTAACATTCTCTGCTGACATGAAATAGAAAGATTATATTGAACAAATTGCTAGTTTTTTTTTCTTCCCCAGAACCCATCTTACATAGTTATAAGTCTACCATTCTTCCATGTTTTGAATAAGTCTACCATTCTTCCATGTTTTGTGCTCTTGCTATATATTTAGAGATTCTTGATAAAATCCAAAGAAGTATCTGCAATGTTATTAGTCATGACATTGCATCTCAGATTCAGTCACTTTCCAACTGCCATAATTTAGTTTCCCTGTGACACTTTTATAATTACTTTCATGATAATTTTCCTGATGAACTTTGCTTTATGGTACCTAGACTTTATGAATTTAAGCACAGTACTAGATTGACAGCAAGGTCTCATCATTTTACAGTTGAACCATAAGTTCTTTGTTAACAGTTTCTCACAGCTCTTCTGGATTCTTTGATCTTCAAAATAAAATAAAAAAACAACTTAAATGCAATGATAATTGTTACCTACTGTCTTTTGTTTTCACTCCATAATTTTTTTTTTCATAATCAGTAATCGTTTATGTCTTAGTGGCTTTATTGCTTGGTGTGAAATGATTAAAAAATATATTAGGACGAGGAATTATCATTGTTTCCATTATTTATATGTGGACTATTATTCACATCTTTCTTGTAATAACCTATTTGATCTATAGAAGTGAAGGTAGATTGTTAGAGTTAGAGTTAACCCTAATCCACTGCCTCTGTCTAGGGATGTCTGTCTTTTTTTTTTTATAGTTCAATTACTATGTCATGAAATTCAGTCTTTAATACATTAGGCTATTGTCCTGTGAATTTGGTAACACAGTAAATGGGAGTTCAATTCCTGGGTCAGGTAGTGTGTATTTAAACTCAGTGGAAATAAGACAAGCAACCAAGCAGTACTAAAAATAAGAACTACACATGATATCTCTAGACATGGACAGTGGGACGAGAACAATCTACTCCCATAGATTAAATAAAGGGTTCAGTTCAAAGACCCTGTAGGTTATCTAACATACACCTGATGAAGACTGGAGAGAACAATGAGAACAATAGTCCATATGTGTGTCTGTAGTTTGTGTGTCTGATTCCTCAAAGCTGTTGATTTTTTTTTTTTAATTTCTGGGCATGGAAAATTTGAATGAAAGGCATTTTTAAGGATTTTAAATTTGTTTACACTAAATGACATAACTGCACCTAAAATATTTCAAAAGTAGTTTACAATAAATACTGACCGACTAAAATTGATTAGGCTAGCAATGACCAACCAAAAAGTTACTATGGACAAATAAAATGGTTTGGTGACCCAAATAAGCAAGACAAATTATTACAAGAACTAAAAAGTTCTCAGTTCAAAACCATCAAAATTTACTTTGGCCAAGAAATTTCAGCAACCTATTCTATAGTTGATTTTATTTGCTTCTCAAATAAACAAATGACCCAATCAATTATATTTATCTTTATTCAGTCTTTGCTTACAAATGAATTTGTTAGAATTTGGTTTGATTGTTTCTGTCTGAATTTCTAGGATGAGGAGTTATTATTTATATATTTATATTTGGACTATTGTCCTCATCTTTGTTGCTGTTATCACACCATTATGGCCTTCCTTAGGTGTATATTGATCAGGGTAACCTACGAGGAATTCTGAACTGAACCCTTTATTTAATCCACTGCTCATGTCTAGGGATATTGTCTAGTTCTTTTGTATTTTTTTTTTTTTTTTTTTTATTTAGTTATGCAAGTAGACACTGCCCAGCCCAGGGATTAAACTCACAACCACTAATGTCACCAAATTCACAAAGCAATTGTTTTATCCACTAGGCCATTGTCTTGTAGTGAAATTAGAGCCTTAAACCTAACTTGGCTGCTACTGCTTTCTGTCATGTTTTGATTGCTGCTGCTGCAACAGTTGAAGACTTGCTATCTTTTCCTTTAATTTGCTGTTGCATATTGTATTTATTTATATACTGGGCCTACTAAGGAGGTTCATAATCTAGCATATGTATTGATTCTTTCATATGTATTCATATGTATTGATTCTTTCTAACTCTCTAGTGTTCTTCCTTGTCCAGTATTTTCACTTCATTTCACAGAGGCTGAGGCCCTTTTCCTCCATAGATGATCAGTCATGCTTGATTTGTGAATTTGGTGACAGTGGTTGTGCATCCAATCTTTCAGCCAGGCAGTATGTACTAAGGCAAGCAATAACTGAACAGTAGTAAATAAAAATAAAAAAAATAAAAAAAAAATAAAAAAATAGATGATATCCCCAGATATGAGCAGTGGGACAAGAACAATCTACCCACATTGATTAAATAAAGGATTCAGTTCAGAATACCCTGTAGGTTACTTTTGTGATATCAATGAATACTTGTTGCCACTTTTGTAATGCCAACGAATACTCGTTGTCACTTTCATAATGCTCGTTGTAGTAAAGACTTTATAATCGCAGATACAACTATAGTAATGCCGTTGAACAATACTGGTGTCAAACGCCTTTGAATATCACTTGCACTGATAATAATTGCTCGAATAGTACTCCAAAGAGAGATAATATGGTGAATAGAGTAGAGAATAGAATTGTGAACTGCATAGTAATAGAGGATAGAGTAGAAATGGCTATCGTTCAGATGTCACACTACTTTCTACTTATGTGTTTCCTCTATGGTCATATGATCTATTTAATTCAATAATGGTATCACCTATGTTTGCTCACTGGCGATCTGTGTTCAAAATCAAGTGTCGGCAGCGACATTTTATTCCTATATAACAGTTACCCAGATCAATATACACCTGAGGAAGACCAGAGAGGACAACAGCTGAAACATTGTGATAACATCAACAAAGATGATAACAATAGTCTGAATATAAAATAGTGTAAACTAGCAGGAGAGCCTGGCATGTAACAGTAAGAGATAAATCAACTATCGACCATCATAAAGACTAAAAAATAAAATTGACAAAGATTATTGTTTAAGGTTGATGGACATGCATGTCTTAATTAGTTTTTTTTTTTTTTGTTTTTTGGGTTTTTTTCATGAATTGGTCAAACCCAAACTCAAACAAAAACATTGTTTTCAATTGTTATGAGTTTATCGATTGAATAGAATTTTATTATAAACAATTGTCTTGTAAATGGAATTTTTAAAGCATTCTGAATGTAAAAATAAAGAAAAAAGTGTGTAAGACAATAAGAAACACTACCTGCCAAAAAAAAGTGAAGTTTTGTTAAAATCGGTTGAAAAATGTAAGAAATCCGATCCCATATATAAATGAACACACACACAAACCTGGGTTTTATAATAAGTATAAATCGATATGAGTTGTCCCCATTTCATTTTCGCAACAGCGATGCCTCTTAATCATGTTTTCCAATTGATTTTGTGCAAAAACAATTGTGTTTTTTCCAATTTTTGGCGCTGTCAGAACCACCGCAAGGTAATTTTATGTAGTCCTGTGAAGTTTTGTTGAAATCAGTTGAAAAATGTAGGAAATCCGATCCAATAAATAAACGAACAGACACACACAACCTGGGTTTTATAATAAGTATGATTATGATAACTCCTCATCCTAGAAATTCAGACAGAAATTATCCAATTGGTACAGACCTGATGTGATACACCAACAGAGGCGGTTAGAAAAACTCCATCAAAAATTGGCACAGATGCCAAATCACTTGACATTCCTATACAGATGTAGCAACCTAAAGCTCATTCCACCGGGAATATCAATCAAGACATCAGTTAGTTTCATGAAAGCACAAAGGGTAGTGGAAAGTGGAGAACACACCTTCATGACGGAAAGGATTCTCCACAACTGCTGGCAGAAATATCAGTTGAAACATGAATTATCTGAAAAGGCCCAGACATTACTTAGCAAAATAATAAACAAATCAGACAAATACAGAATTGAACAAGACTTGGATAAGTCATTCAGTCAAGAATATCAAATGGCCAAGGATCGCCACTTACGTAAACTTGTATGGATGAAAAAACAGGAATTGGAACATCATAAGGCCCACCATGGTTTGGTAAGAGAAGTTAATTTCAGCAATCTATAGTTGAGTGCCTCTAAGGAATTAGTGTTAAGCAAGGGTCTCAACTTCACCACAATTATCAGGCAAGTTTGATAGACATGATGACTCGAATGAAGAAGATGGCATTGAAGATCCCAAAGGTCCAAGCAGCTGGGCTAAGATGAAAAATGAGAATCACTAGAAAAGGCCAATCTGCCTAAATCGAAAAATCACAAGAAAAGAAAGGTTAGTAACAAAGACCTTACAGAGTGATACTAGTTTCATCATACTGCCAGCTGATAAAGGCTATTTTTCAGTGGCGATGGACAAGTACGCCAAAGAATTTGCAAGCCTATTTAGGGATGGAAGCTACAGCAGGATAGAAAAAGGTTCTGACCCTAAAAACTGAGAGGAGGCTGTTACAGATCCTAAATAAAAACAGACTACTTTGCACTAAATAAATATAAACAGTTGACACCAGAATGCTGCACACATATGGTCTTTAAGATTCACAAAGTTAGTATTCCATTGAAACCTATAGTCAGCTACAGGGGTTCAACATGCCACTCACTGAGTAGATTCCTAGTGGATATAATTAATCCACTAACAGAAAAGTCCTATGTTAGAAACTCAGAACACATAATGAAACTGGTCCAAGGGGCTCCCATCCATTTTTCACCAGAGTTCCTACAGATGAGACTGACAAGTGGTTTGAAACTCACTGGAATCAGATTCCTCCCTAGGAGAATGTACTAACATTCCAATAGATAATCTAATAGAAATGTTGATGTTCTGTGTACAGACAACATTCTTCCAACTAGAGTAAGGCTTGGCTATGGGTTCACCATTATCACCAGTGATGGCAAACATATACATGGAATACTTTGAGAAAATAGCTTTAGAAATATCACCACTAAAGCCAACAGTATGGCTGAGATACATAAATGACACCTTCATACTCTGGCCACACAAGGAAGCTGTATAGATGCTGCTGGTCAATGTGAACAATAAAACCTTTGATCCAGTTCACAATGTAAGAAGAAAATAATCAGCTAGCCTTCCAGGATGTACTAATAACTCACAGAGAGAATGGATTCAAAACATTTGTATATCACAAGCCAAGCTTCTCAACTTCAATTCCAACCATTCATACAGTGTGAAGAAAGGAATCATTCGATGTCTACAACATTAGGCAAAAATCATAAGTGGTGACCCAGACACATACCAACAAGAAATGATCAGCATTAAATGTACCCTACAGAATAACAACTACCCAGAAAATATAACATCTGCATCTACAGGTGGGAGCAGAAAAGACAGGAAGATGACCACAAAATTAACATGCTAAAAATTACTTTATGTCAAGGGCTTATCAGAAATAATTCAAAGATCTTTGGTCCATACAACATCAGGACAATATTCAGAAGCAGTTCCACTCTACAGAGAAATCTCTGCTGAGTAAAGCCTAACACAGGGGAGAATATGACCAAGAATTGTGCATATTTGATTCCTAGCAGTTGTGGCAAGGAATATAAAGGCAAAACAAAACCTAAAAGTAAGGCTAAAGGACATCGAAAAGCCATAGTGAGATATGAGACAATGAAATTGGGTATGGTTGATCATGTATGGAAGAAAAGGGATAGTCATCATCTCCTGTGGAATGTTAAAAATACTAAACAAGGAAGAATATTGGAATTAGATGTCTGAAAGAATCAACACATCTGCTAAGCTAATATAGGAGCCACTAATAAAGAAAGACAAGTGACAGCAAGTTTTCAACCACAACAGTAACAAACAAAACATGAGCAGCAGCAGTTGCAACCTAATCAACAGCCAAGTTAGGTTTAAGGCTCTAAGTGCACCACAACAAATTGTCCTATGGGACAATGACCTAATGAAATTTGTGAATTTGGTGACATAGTGGTTATGAGTTCAATCCCTTGGTTGAGGAGGGTGTACTTGTACCCACTGGAAATAGGTAAGCAATAACTGAGAACAAGACAATATCCATAGACATGAGCAGTGAAATTAAAACAGTCTATTCCCATAGATTTAGTTTCGAATTCTGTGTAGGTCACCCAGATTGATATACACGTGAGGGTACAATGACCGAAATGTTGTGATATCAACAACGATGAGGACAATAGTCTGAATATAAATATAGTGTAAAAACTGGTTGTTTTTGTTTAGCAGCATATCAACACCTTATGGGTTATTTAATGCTGAAATCTAAATATGAAAATTCAAACTTTATAATTAATATAAGAGAATGACATATCATGATTAAATTATAATTACTTAGCTGCATTTGTTTTTACCAAAAATACTTGTTTCTCCTTACAATAAATGAGATTAATCATAGCAAACTATTTTTTGTTTTCTTTGTAACAATATATGCAAGTCTTCAATCTTACTATAAAATGTATTGTTAGTAATTTTTTTTTTATATATAAATGTATTGCTAGCATTTTTACTATAAAAATATATTTTTATACTTTCCTAGTGTTTGATTTTTGTTTGTGATGTAATGGAATAACCTGTCACCCCCATGAGTGACTACACTATAGGTAGTAACTACCCATAAGTATCTGTAAGTCAATGGACTACAGGGTCTAGCTGCGACCTGTTCCAGCTAAACAGTTGAACTCTGCCTGAAGCGAACCCGGACGAGGCTCTGCTGAAGAGCAGTCTCGTTTGGGGAGGTAGACTGACCCTGAATCCGTTTATGCGGGTTCAAAAGGGAATATTTTTGGCCGAATTAAACCAGCCTTGTGCCACATGCAACCCTCATGGGGGAGTAGCTAAATATACTAGCTGCAACCTGTTCCAGCTAAACAGTCAAACTCTCTGTCTTCGGGCAGAGTCTCGTTCGGGGAGGTAGACTGACCCTGAACCTGTTTGTGCGGGTCCAAAAAGGGAATATTTTTGGCCGAGCCTATGGGCTCGGAGAACCCCAGTTAAACCGGCCTTGTGCCACATGCAACCCTCGGGGGGGGGGGGGGGTAGCTAAAATACTAGTTGCGACTTGTTCCAGCTAGACGGTTGAACTCTCTGCCTTTGAGCAGAGAGGAACCCGGGCGAAGCTCTGCCAAAGGGCAGTCTCGTTTGGGGATGTTGATCAACCTAATCCTGTTTATGCGGGTTCTACAGGCATTTTTTGGCCAAGCCTATGGGCTCAGATAACCCATGTTAAACTCGGCCCTGTGCCACATCTACACTCGTGGTGGGCTAGTAAATACCAACTAGTTGGGATCTGTTACTCAGCTCTTAGCTGTTGTCGAACTCTCTGCCTTTGGCCAGAGAGGAAGCTGGATGAGGCAGAGTCTCATCCAGGGAGGTTGATAGACCCAAGCCCGTTTATGCAGGGTTTATGGGGAATTTTTGGCCTAGCCTACAAGCTCAGATTACCCCACATTAAATTCGGCCCTGTGCCACATTCTACTCTGTGGGAACGTTGGTAAATATTACTAGCTGGGATATGTTGAGTACAACTCAGGCTCACACGAGAACTACCGACCTTCCAATAGTATCACTCACTACTGGATGACTTGTGACGACCTTGTGCATAACTGTTACCTTTATTCTTATTGTAGTGGTTTTGTACAATAAACCTTTACTTATTTAATCTACCTTATTTTTTCAAGTATATATTCCTATTAGCATGAAATAACAGTTTGGGAGTTCACTATTTTCCCATAGTTTTTTGAATAACAGGTGCTACTACCCTGGGTCAGGATGGACCTAGGAACAATAGCAATTAAGAGGTAGTTCCACATTCCTCAAAGCCTCCACTCTCCCAATCAGATGGCTTGCTGTCAAATGTAGTTTACTGTCATACCCAGGACTACTCTTTGTGGGAAGTCCTACCCCTTTACAGATGTGCAGCCAGCATATTCTACACCCTCAGCCAACAGGGAATGTCATTGTTAGAAAAATATGAGCATAATAAAGGGCTTCAGAAGACATTAACCCTAATGTACTTACTGTAAATGGACCATGTTCTGTTAATACTGCCAGCATTGAGCTACACCCTGGACCACCATTCAACCACAGAACTACAGGGTCTGTTGCAGGATTTCCTGTGGATTCCATAAACCTGAGAAAAAAAAAAAACATTTATATAAATAAATTTAAATAATTAAAAATATGAAGAAGTGATAACCACAAGTAATCACTAAAAATTAACAACATTTGTAATTCACATATTTTGTGTTTAACACTTTCTATGCCACGAGAAGAGTCCCCTACATAGAGATGGCTATCTAGTGAACTCTTTAATGGTTTAGCAGTAAGAGAATTTTATATCATCTCAACCTTTATAACACTGTATTATTTTTTAAAGATCTTTCAATGTAGTCAACCTTTTAGAACATTTGGGTATATTATCAATGACTTAATATTTGAGAAGAGACTTCTGAGAGTATTTGGACAAATAGCAGAACTTGGAATTGAAGAATTACTTATATTATTTCCACCTTCTTTGAATTTAAGAACAGAGTAAAGTTAATGAGAATGAATTCAATACCAATATCTAATAGAATATTCTTGGACTGTAAGGTCTCCTCTTTTGGCCTTTAGCTATCTTGCTATCACCACCAAAACTAATTCTATGACTCTTCCCAGGAACCAATAAAGTCAAGATTTATTAAGACTTTTTTTATCAGCACTACATCTAATTTCATTAACAAAACTAACTTCATATAATTCTTTACATTCTTCTCTTAAGCTAAAATATCCTTCAAACAAAAGCTCATGAAACTTGATTAACATAGCACTATAAGCTTGTAATTCAATATCAGATCTAGGCAGAGGATCTGATTCAATATCAGATCTAAATAGGGATCAGAATTCAAACATTAGCACTGAGGTAAAGAAAGCAAATTGAATTTAAATTTTCAAGATTAGAATCAGTACCTACATAAGTGGCCCAGTATTTATGGCCAAAATGATGGTAAGCAAATCAAAATCACCAATTCAGAAGTATCCACCAAATTTATATAAATATGATTTGATAGTTAAACATTCCTATGCATTTCTCACCCAAGAAGCATATAGAAGCATCTATGTTTCATATTAGACATTTGAAGACATCAATTAAATTCACAAGTAAAAACTTCCTCAGTAAGATTACAGTCAGTTATAAAGAATCTGGCATTATCACAAGAAATGCAAGATAGAATGTAGTATATATTGGTAAATCTAAGTAAATCTCAAATAAAGGAATGACTGCTTATGTCCTTAATTCAGTTCTAATATTGAAACAAGGAAAATATAAAGATGTACATTTCTTTTTAATTCCTTCCTTACTTTTTTTTTTTAACGAGAAAGGAATTAAAAACAAAAGCACATTCATTAAATCTTGATCTTCGGCTAACCAAACAGAATTTGTTATTTTATATTTATATTATTTTTTTTTTTTACATATTCTACCTTGGGTTATGAACATTTCATTTTTATCTAAGAATAAAATTAAATTCTTAACTAAATTAGGTGGACTTTTGTGCTGAAGATTTTTAAAGATAAGCCACTTATCGTTTGAAACTTTCTTTTTGTATTACCTTAAATAGATAAAATTAGGATCTAAGTTCACTTTTTAGTTCATTTCTTATCTTAGTGATTAATCAACTTTGTACTAACTCCCAATATGTGTATCTCGCACATGTGCATACCTCAGACAGATAAACACCTTATATCAATCAAATCTCTGAAGATAAAGTTCTTTTCATCAGCAGATTTATGGAAAGCCAACAGGTAGAAACCACATGCCTTAAATTTAAAATGTTTTATATTAATCAGGCTAATTAATGCTCAGAAAAAAAAATAGTGAAAAAATGTCCAGTGTTTATATTCAGACTGCCATTACCAATAATAGAAACAAGTGTTTGCAATACATCCTCTACATTAGATTAAGCATCCTTCATCAAGGATCAACTCTTTTTCATTGTTGATGAAGCTTTGAGAATTTCACCATTATTCATAGATGCTTCAAAAATGTCAACAGTGTTGGCACTGCATATGGAGTAAAGGTGATTTTACTTGGAGAGTTACCAGAGAGACCACAAGATACTGGAACTGCAATAATCAAATTTTGTATTAAAAATCTGTTCCCTAAGCTTTCTTCAAACTTGTTCAAAACATGCACTAGAAAGAAATTGATACATTTTTGATTGGGCATGGAGATGAAAAACTTATGGTGTAAATCTCCAATTCCAAAGTCATCATAGTTCCAAATTAGTGTTTGATCAAAAGTTATGCTACCTGTACATCCACTATGTGATTATATATTTCAATAAATGTCACATGTAATTGAGATGTACAGTTTATATCAGAGTTATATTGAACTTTGAAACTTACCAGTAATGCAAATGTCTGTTGCCAAGAGCTTCCAAATAACCAGAATACTGTCGAAACACGGGCTGTTTCTGGAGTCCGGGGAGAGATTTAATTAAATCTTCTTCAGGAGCAGCATAACTTGAGCACAAATGAGTGCTTACAAGTAAGAACAATAAGAATTGAGTTACCATTTTTAAAAGCTGAAAAGCAGAAAAAAAAAAAAAAATAGAATTTGTCACTCAAACTTGGACATTTCAATAACAAATTTTATAACATACTTCATTATTCAAACCTGCATCCTCATCTTGGTTATTATATTCACAGTGTTTTCATTGTTATACTCTCCAGCTTGCTTCAGTTATCTATTGTTGTACAAGCTACCATAGCAGATTGTTCTCATTCTGCTTTCCATGCTTAAGAGAAATATTCAGTTAATATTCACCACTTTTTCCATTTAACTAGAGTATGTGACTTTTCAGCACTACCTGATCCAGGGATTGAAAACCCAGCTGCAAGGGAGATCAGTGGTATGCGTGATACATGCTTAGGCAATCATGCATCTTTTGATACATGACTGACAAGGCAGATTTTTTCCCCCACAGTAGGCTGCCATTTCTTTCTGCGGTAGACCAGTTGCCATCTAAGGATATAGAATACAGTCTGTCCTGCTCTTTACCCATAGCTGGGGAGAGAAAAGGATTTGTACCTTTCCCAAAGGTATTAGCACGTAAGTGAATGCAATGGATTCGATTGGAACTCGGCTCTCAGATTCCTCAATCCGAACCACTATCCATTACTCCACCGTGCCTCTTTCCTGCAAGGAAATCAGATAGGTTTTAACCAATGATTTAATCCATTAGGGTATGTGTCTCTTGCAAGAAACACATAACACAAGGTGAATAAGATTGGTAAATAGTAACTGAAATAAAATAGCTACTAAGCATAAAAAGCGGAATGATAGCAATCTACCACTGACCAGTGAAAAAAATTAAATTAAAAATTCCAAATGCAATTTATTACAAACTTTTTTTTTTTATTTACATCGAGTGTGCTGCAGTAAATTAAATTCCATGTAGTAAATGTGAATATATATAATTATTTATTTAAAAATTATAAACACAAATATATGTTATAAAATCACTATAAAATAGCCATTTTGTTTCAACACATCTGGTGTCTTATCAAGTGATGATGTTGAATGTAGATTGTAGAATATGGGACTGAAAAGTTCATAAACTGACCAAGATACTCTTCAAGGAATGTGATCAAATGAGGTTTATTTTTCAACATAGTCACCCTTGCAGTCCACACACTTCCTCCATCAGTGCTTGGATCCCATTGGTGGAGAGGCCTTCATCCTGTTGGTCAAAAAAGTCATCAACAGCAGATATAACATCATAATCACTACAATACTGGCTCTCAGGCAAGGTGGTTTTTCGTGTTAGAGGATAGATGATAGATGGGGCTCGAATCAATAGAATAAGGAAGGTGATCAACCAGTTCAAAGCCACAGTCATGCACAGCACCCATTGAAATGAAGGACTTGTAGCTGGAGCATTATCCTGATGAAACAAAATCACTTGCGTCAGTTTTTATGGGTTTTTAGACTTCATAACTTTTTATAACTGCATCAGCAAGTTGCCATAGTACTCTCCACTGATGGTGTGGCCCTTTTGAAGATAGTCAATAAACACAGTGCCTTTTACATCCCAAAAACTAAGGCCATAAGCTTCCCTGCAGATGAAATGATCTTGGCATTCTTTAAAGCAGAATAGAAGGGGCATTTCTATTGCATGGATTTTCTCTTTGGCTCAAAGTGCTGAACCCTACACTCATCCTAAGTTTAGGAAACATTCAAAGAAACCAGTTGGATCTGCTTCAAAAAAATGTCAGATTTTTCCATGATGTGATCAGCATGGTGCACTTTTCATCAGATGTCAGAAGACATGGCACCCACCGAGCAGAAACCTTCATCATGCCAAGTTCATTGTGCAGAATATTCTCAATTCTTTCACAGCATATGCTAATAGCATTGGCTATTTGATTTATTGTCAATCACCTGTCATCCATTACCATGTGGTGAACATGATCAATGTTTTCCTTGATAGTGGCAATTGCAAGATATCCAAACCATCTCTCTTTCCCTTCTAAATTCAGTTGCCCACTTTTGCACTGTTGATAAAGCTGGGGTGTCATCCCCTGATGTATCAGCCATGTTAGCATGAATGTCCTTGAGCGATAAACCCTTTTTCTGCAGGTACTTCATAATACCACAATACTAAATTTTGTCCATTTTCAAGAGAAGTCAATACTGCTAGATACTTTTAAAGTCTTCTTTGAACAGTCAAATGTCAGTTTACCTTGAAATAAACAATGCCATTATTAATAAGAGTTGAAATTAATGCATGCAAGATTTCACAGCTCTAGCATCATCCCTTCATATTCAGCCTATGAACTTTTCAGCCCACCCTTGTGTATGTGTAAAAATTCAGATATAATAAAATATAGCTGTAAACAAAAAACAATATAAATAAAGACAAAATGAAAACTTTTTCTTTACTGATGTGTTTCATCCTCTGATGGACTTTAATCAAAATCAATGTGCCTTGATAAAGTGCATCAGAGGACAAAACATGTTTTAAAAAACATACTTATGAATGCAGAAGAGCTATAAAAATTTGGCTCCATTAAATTCTTTAATCTCCCATTTACAAAGTACAAACCATCCTTTCAATGTTAAAAGTGCCAAAATGATTAAATTTTTATTTATTTATGTTCATTTTAAATCCTGATTTTTAACATTTTTTGTTATGTTTTCAATTATCTCAGCTAAGCTGTTTTCTTTTTAATTGCATTAGGAAAATGCAAGTGTTCTGCAATAAGTATTTTATCATATATATATATATATATACACACACATACACTAAAGCTTGCTTTGTGATAGATATAGTTGCATATCTGACAAAGGTTGATAAAAACCATGATGTAAAATACTGATTGTTAGGTAAATAAAGGTCAAAGCCTGCCCCAAAACTTTTAAAACAAGTTATTAAAAATATTTTTATGTAAGCAATGTGTATATGGAATGGAAGAAGAAAAAAAAATTCAGATTAGCTTTCTTGAATGTATTTGGCTCTACTAACTTGGAAGAATGGTTTAATATATTTTCCATGTTCCAGGCTTAGCTAAACACAGAGTTGATAGATTGAAAGGGAGATAATGAAGAGACTCCACATAAATAAGAAAATAAGTGTAAGTTCAAATGAATGATAAAAGCAAATAATCAGATCATGAGTTTCAGTTTTATTAAAAAGACTAATTGTAAAAATTTTGACAAAGTTTAATATAAGTCTCTGTATAAAATGGTGTGCCAAAAAAGCCATGACTGTAGGGTAGTGTAAAGTCACTTGGCAAGTTTTATTGTTTTAAAAAGGAAATTCTTTTTTAGCAACAGAAGCTTTCTGCTTTCTATATTACTTTTCTTTTGTTATTCAGGACAGTACGTAGGAAGGCTTATTCAATTTTTAAAAGCAATTTTGTCTAGAACTGTCAAAGTCAACGCGAACTTGTGTAGCTGTCCGTCAAACAATACAATATCACTTGCGAGCGAGCTATCAATTTATTTTTATGTTTTTCAAATAAAATTTGTCAGTTTTAGAGGTGTATTTAAAAATCGGATAGATAAAGTAACTATTTTCGATATGATTGTTACACTGTACGATTAATAAAAGATTTTTTTTAAATTTTACTTTTATATTTTTTCATGTTCTGTCAATAACAGCCATTGCGATTTTTGCAGATTCAAGAGAAAATTTGATTTCGTAGTCGTTTACTTTTTGTGTTGATTTTTTTTCTTTGCAAGACACAAATTTGGGCTCTTATGTTTGTCGTGAAAGTAAGAAAAAATTTTAAGAACTCAATTTTAAATTTTTATTTTCGACAGATAAAAATAAGAATAAGTAACTTACTCTTCTTACAAACACATACATAAAAACGCGCGTAATTAAACACGCACACACAAACACATAAAAAGCTAAAAAAAAAAAACTAAACAAAAAAAACATACATACACACCAAGTAATTATGTAAAGCGTTTCTTTTAAAACCGACAAAAAGAAACTGAAAGAATTTCTACTTCTGCCGGAAAACTTCAATCTAACTAAATTCAAAGTTTATTAGAAAGAATGAGTAACAAAAACTAAAAGCATCAAAGAAACCCTGGAACCCGTTACCCTGCGCCAGAGGCATCCCGCAAAAAAGTGGGGGGGGTACCGAGGGTGTTAGTGCAATTTTTCTACTGTATTGCTGAAAATCCCACATTAAACTTTGACCTTGTGTCACGTTCTGCTGCAAAGTGGGTACGCGGAAATACCTTTGATTTTTACCACGCAGCACTGTATCATCAAAAGAGGTATGAATGGATTTCTGTCCTGAAAAGGAATATGGGATCTTATTTTGTTGTGCAGCTTTAGTTTATTACTATCTAAAAACTACGCGATTATCGTCAAATTTAGTTTGAAAATTAGTTTCTCCATTCGAATTGAAATAAACTCAGTGACGCCCATATTGTTCTCTAGCCTCATATTCTAAGCACACAATCTGTGAGCATATTATTCGAGAAATATTTTTCATCATGCACTTTCTCACGGAGATTGTATTAACTGTTTTTACTTACGAACAAAAATTGAAATTAATTGCATTTCGGACGGTATCGCTTTGTTTCGGATGTATGTCTTTTCAAATCCAAAGGAGGGCTCAGAATATGAGGATAAGTCCAAACAATTTTTATAGAGTTAAAATAAATAAATCAAGGTAAAATCATTCTTTGACTGGTACGCAAATAAATCATTAGAAACGGTAAAAACACGTAAATAAATACTTCGATTTTAGCAGTGTAAGTGTGTGTGTGTTACCACCAAATTGCTCCAGTATTCAAACTATTCACGGGTGGAAAAATTATTTAATTTATATTGATTTGTGGTTTATTTTAAAATCAAAATCGTTTTTAGAGGCATTTTTTATTAAATAAAATATCTGGATAACAGTACTTCAGAAACAGGATCTCTTTAAATTTAATTTTTTTTAAACTACGAAATCTTCGTAATAATTTGCAGAATTAACGAGATAAATAAAGGATAAAATTACAATAAATAAGGAAATAACAAATATACAAATCCGAAGTTCTTACACAAAAAAAAAAAAAAAAAAAAAGAATATCACATTTTTCACTTATTACTCGAATGACGTATTTTTCACAAATCGATATTTTTAATGTAAACTTTTATTTAATTTACTTTTTTAGTGTTTTTTAAAACAAATTATAACAATAACACATGGGATGGAACGATGACGAATAATTTTCTGAAATATAGGTGTTTTAGTAAATAAAATCAAAACGAAATAAATATGACACAAAGTACACCAAATAATTCTTAGAGGGACAATAATACTTACTTTACAATACGTCTCTAAAGGAAATATTGATGCCGATCCTTACTGAAGTGAAATGAAAACGATCGTTTCACTTTTTTTTATATACTCACTTGTTTTTGGAAATCATGTGACACTGACCAACATGTGCTTTACATCATGTGACCATGATCTTGCTGATATTTTTGACTAATTAATTAATTTTTCTCAGTTTATACATTATAAAACTTAAAAACTATTATTTAAAAATTTTTCAAGTTGATTTAAATTTTAAGCTAGTCACATACACAATTTTTAAGTTTAAGAAGTCTAAGACTAAAAAATTGTTTTGTTTTTTAAAATCTACAGGATAGTCCGAAAGTTTTGTTTGTCACGCTTCTTATTCTTACATAATATAATTTTTTTTTTTTATTTCAGATGGTTGACACGAGCTTCTACAGTTTTTGGAAGAGAGGATTCTCTATGCATGACAACGTCAGTGAAAGTGAAATACTGAATCCAGTCCATACATGTGCTTTAGACGTTCTTCTATTGTTCATACTTTGGGGGTGACAAGACTTTCGGGCCACCCTCTCTAACTACACAATATTTTGAATTTGAATATTTAGAAAAAAAATGTTTTTTTTTTATTTATTTGTTTGTTTGTTTATTCTGCACTTAAAACAAACTAAGATTCAAATTTTCAGCTCCATGAAAATCTTGAGTTTTACCTGAATTTTACTTATAATTTTCAATGAATCTTGCTTTTGAATTTGAATATTTATTGAACTTTTAAAAAATCCACAACACTAATCAATCGTCTATTTACAAATTAAATAGCCTAAAATAAAAAATTAAACAGTTAAAAACTGATCTCTCTCACGAAACGTGAGCTATGTCATTTCCTGAAATAACATCTCACATTATTCATTTCCATCGCTTTTTAGTACACGTTTGTCGCGACATGTACGTTGTGATAAAAAAAAATCGCAGAAAAAAAAGAAACTTCATCAGAAATAAAAGTAAAACGAGTAAAAATAACTTAACTTTCTATTATTCCAAATATGTTAGAAGTAGATTAGATAAAAAATGTTTTCTATTTTCTTAGTGCACGGTAATTATAGTATTTTTTCGTAAATTAAAAATACTTAAGTTATTTAATTATTTATTAAAAATTTAGATTGGAACAAAAACAGTCGTTTTAAAGTTTTAAACATTTTTTTTTATTTTTTAGTTTGTTCAGTTTTAGTACGATCGTTTAGGTGTGTACAATACAACATAATGAATTAATTACCGTTTTATCTAAATTTCTGTGTCTCTTTCAATTGTTCGAAGTTTTTGCTTTTTTTTTATAATTTCCTCTTGGGTTATTGAAACAAAAAAAATCGCGATTTTATTATACTTCCATGAGTTTTTAAGTTTGTTTTTTTTTTAATTTTTTATTTATTTTTTACAATGATGCCCATCCTGTACAAGGCTCGGGAACCAGAGAGTAGAGGACTACAGAGTAAGAGGCATAGTTTGTTGCGGATGTGTGATGTGTGTTGGAGAGGAGTAGAAGGTTTGAATTATCAGAAGGCTTAAAATTGTGTGTGTTCAATAATCTTCCAATTAATACAAGATAGAGAATAATTATTCAAAAACATCTTCTTTCAAAACGTAACAATTGAGTTTAATGTTTGAGTTTGATATACAATATACATGCATGAATACTGAGTGAAAAGGTTAGACCTAGTTGTGTCTCTTAGATTAGGTAATATTTGTACCTAAGTTCATAAAGTGAAAGTAATTATTAAACTGTAGTTTAGAAGAATAAAGTTTCTTTAGCATGTTTGGAATTGTGTATTGTACAAGTTGGTAAAAGTTCAGAAGAGATTTCAGAGTTCGTACTTGCGTGAATGTTGATAATGGTCTTTAACGTCTGAACACAAAGGTTAAGACGGGACTTCTTGAAGATTACATCTTGGCAAATGAGACGCGAGAGAGATGAAAAGAAAACACAAGGGAGTTTACACGCGTTTTGTTTTTATAATGTCGTGCATCACGTTGGAGGCTCCGAGCATATTGAGCGGAAAAACATTTGTCGCGTGCAGGCGGTTTGATTGGTCGTAACTGACCAATTAGCAAGCTAGATTGAAGGTGATTAACCAATGAATGCTTGTTATATATTTTGTAAGATTGTGATGGTGAAAATTACAACAGGAACAGTGCATTTCCTAGCAGGGGTTAACTGGCTTGTTGTGGAAGATTCCATAAGTTTATGACTTTATATGCGGATATGTGGGGAAGATAACGGCTAAGAAGTAATAATCCCTAAACTTAAACAGGTTATGTTGTAGTTATTATAAAAATTACATTTTTATTATTGTTTTAAAAATGTTAAAGATCTACGTATAATCGTTTAGCTTATTTGTTTTTTTTTGGGGGGGGTCACGTTTTGAGAAAGGTTTATTCTTCAGAAGGTTTGGGGATTAAATTTTGTGCATTTTTTATGGCTTTCTATATTGGAATTTAATTTGAGAACAACAATTTTACAAGTTCACATTCTCGCTATTTTTTCTATCCTCACTCCAACCTCTTTTAAATTTCAAAACCGGTTCCCAAGGCCTTGATTCTTATCAGAGATAAGAATATATTTTCTGACTAACGAGAGAGCTGGTGGAAAATATAAAAAGGAATTCCACCACCATTAGTCTTTCCATGGTGCCATAAAGTCTGGGGGAAACCTCACAGCTTCTTCACTTCAACCTGTTTTCAGTACCTTCAAAACCGGCTCCCAGGGCCCTGATTCTTATCAGAGATAAGAATGTGTTTTCTAACCAATAGAGGGGCCAGGAAATTTGTATAACGATTTAGGAGGGAAAAGTCCCCGTTCCATCAGAGCCTACCAAAACTCCATAAATTTGGAGAATCTTGCCTATTTTGCCAGTGAGAATCCTGCCTAACGTCTGTGAGGTCAACATTAGGGAGCTCTAGAACCTCTTTCAACCAAAGAAGAACTACCTACTAAAGGGCTGTCAAGAACTATCGTCGGTCCACAATTCAAGACCAATCCAAAGCTGCATCCCTTCACCACTCCTTCTGACGAGCTCACTGAACTTCTGTAGTCGACCTACGAACTCACTCAACTGCAGGATTCTTATATCTGCGAACAATTTTCCTACTACAAGAACTGTGAGTGTTTCTATCTGAACTGAACCTTAACAATATTCTAATCGCTTTAGGCTTTCAAAGAAATATTTTGAGTAAGCCTTTTTTAAATTAAGAACATTTTCTCTTTTCCCTTTCTTTCTCTCCTGATCGTCCTTTTATCCCTTTACCTTTTTTTCTGTGTATGTTGTAAATAAACACTTTCTTCTTTTGTTGTTACTCACCGAGCAGGAGTTTTTTTCTTTATTCGTACGCGCCTAAAAGAGAGAGTTTGTCTGCTCTAATCTTGCTGTTTTCCTCGCGTTTTGTCACAATTTTTAATCTCAACCCTTTAATGCGGGAAAGCTGGGACAAATTTCTTAGCATCTAGGCTCAAGTGGTGAACCGCCAAGAACATTGAAGTGTTTCGGATTTATTTTTTGGAATATGCGAAGACAGTTTTATTGGCCAATAAGAAACAAGTTTGCTGGCCAATGTCAAATTTTAGCTGGAGCCAATCTCATTTTAGGAAAGCAAAATTTTTATATTATTGGGGAAGCATCCTTTTTGTAGTCGGTTCCACAGAGCAACAGTTCGTTGGGAAGAACATTCAATCTAATCCAGCGGAATACGAATGGAATGAGAGTGGAATTGCGTGGTATGGTGGGTCTTAGCCATGAAGGTTTCTTCTGGACCAAGAAAAAAGAAACGGACATTCCATAACCATATTTAAATCTCCCAGTAAGTACAACTCTTCTTTTGCTTGTTTTAACTGTGCAAGGCTAACTTAAGCTCGACTATGAATACAATGTTTCTACTTACATAACTTCTGCACCAAGGAAAAGAGTGTAGGAATCCTTCTACTCGGTTTTTCGTTGAATGTTAAAATTTGGAGTGTCGGGATTCAATACATTAACAAAATATCGTTACAGGGTCGCTCGTAATTTGGCCGTCTAGAATAATCAAACGCTTTTCATTGAAGGAATAAAATTCAGTAGAAAAGACAACGTAGTTTCAACAAATAAACATTAATTTAATATAACGATAAGACTACAAACAGTTGATAATAGATTGGAATTGGGTTGATAAAGTTTTGAAATAAAATATAAACTGTCTTCGTGTACGTGTGTGAGAAACAATAAAATGTTGTGATATGTGTGTTTGTATGAAAAAGTCAACATCTGTGTGCGTGATTCATAGTAAAAACGGATACGAGAGATACGAATTGTTTCTTACTGTTGGCGGTGTTGCCGTGGTCTGGAGTTTGTCAACGCTGTCGTTTTTAACATGAGGTCATGAAGGTCATCAGCGAGAGGTGTGTGTAGTTTGGTGACAGCCGCGTATATATTGTTTTGGGAACGGATTTCGTATGTTTTTATACACTTTTTCCGAACAATATCGGCTCCAGAATTAAATTATTTATTTATTCCTAATTGGCCCTAAGAAGTCACGTGGTATGTCTTCTACTACGTCCGTACGATATTTGGTCGGTATCTACCTAAAAATAATGATGACTAATACAACAAACATTCTGATTTGTAATCTATGATTTTATTGGTGTGTTTTAAGATGTAAGTGTTTTCTTGAGTGTGATTGGTTTATAAATATTGCATTTGATATTTTAGTGGACACGACAAGAGAACGGATATACCGAAGAAAAAGTGAGAACTTTGTTTCACTACACAGTCACCATAAAAAGAATAAATCTCCGTAGTAAACCCCAAATTTTTGTATGCTTCTTCATTAATTATTTACATGGGAACATGCATCCCACCTTGTCCTCCATTAGAATGTTTGACGCTCAACTTCTCGAGAGCAACTCTCTGCGGCTGCTCGGTCTCACGTTGACTGCTGACCTGAGATGGAACAAATACATTGAGTCAATTGCCTCGTCCACCGCAAAGAAAGTTGGCTCCCTGTGCCGCGCCAGGAAATTTTTCTCCCCGGAATCGAT